ACTGAAACAGCGATATACCTACACTTGAAAAACATCACATTTCAGCAGTCGATAAAAAAGTGAAATTTATCAATTCATTATGAAACTGATATAATAATGCAACCCACACAATTAAATGTTTAGGTTTGACGTTTGTTTGTTGATAATATTTATTGCAAGTGAGACTCAATATTTATCGTATTTGTCCGATTTATGGGAAACATAATGACGTTAATTAATTGTATTAAATGAGTAATGTTAACCAACAAAACCCACGTTCAATTTGTCATGAAGATGAATAATACTCAGTTTCAGATTTCAGGACTTAACAATACTATAGTTTGACATAAATTCAGAGAAAAACTAAAAATGTATGTGTGTAAGAACTGAAAAATACATTTCTGAAAACGCGTGTTTATTTCAGAACCTTAATGTTCACTAATAACCAATACTGCAGATTTTTTCAAGTATTAAAATTATTAATACAATACGTAGCTATAATTAAAACTAATTTGTGGTATTACCATAGTAAAAAACTAGTGCCATCCTTAGCAATAGCAGATATCACCAATGGATTCTCATTACCGTAGAATAGAGTTCATTTTGGATTGCATTAAAAGTTTAGTACATAGACATTGTAAAATGGTTTTTATTTTCGACTAATAAAGTTTATTTTCGAATAAAATAAGAATAGCATTAGTTATTCTCGAGGTGCGTGCGCGCACACGGGTGCTATGCAGTTATGCGCTCGCTTCTAGACCGGAAAACGCTAGAAAGTGGCTTTTCAGTTTTCGAATAGCTACATAATAAGTATCTGCTCGATTTGCCGGCCGGCTGTGCCCAATCAAGGTGGAAGTACTGATCGATACTGTCAGGTTTCGGCAACTAGATGGATGGGCGACTTAAGTGGCTAATTGGGCTTCCAACTGGTAATGCACGAACTAAACCGAGTTACGCAATAATTGCACACGTGAAAAAATAAAGCTAAACGAACGCAGCTAAAGTTTAAAACAATACGTGTAATGTGGCGTAATATGCTATCTTAGGCTGGGCTGCACTATTGACTTTAACACACGTCAAAAATCTGTCATACTCCATACAAAATACACCGGTTATTGTGTTATAGTTACGGTTAAAGTTAGGTGGTGTAACTCAGAATTTGATTTATTTGATTCGCACTCATTAATGAAATATTTAAACTATTTAAAACAAGAACGTGACAATATTTTTCTCATTTGTTTTTTTCTGACACTTTTATTTTAGTGTTATGCAGCCAGTATCTTAGAAGCATTCGAATACAGTTTCCAACCAATCACAGTGATACACTAACCTTTTTAGAAAGTGTAATTTACTTTTAAATTGTGTCTGCAAAAATCAGTGTTCATTATTTCACAAAAATAGCAGATGATGAGTGACGTTAATTAATACATCAAGTTTGCAAGTGTGATGATCACTTTTCGCTGTCAAATAACACGAAGCTGTTATAGTCATTATTGAAACCATTAATTTGCTAAAATGCATACATCAATGAGTTTTTTCTCAATCGCTAATGTGTCATTGACTGACTTACAGACCTTGAAAATGTTCTGTTATCAATTTAGCAAACAAATAAAGTTTTTATGGTAATTTTGTCGTCCTTTGCGCACGAGTGGTTGGCGGGCAATTGTCGTAAGCATTTGTAATAATATTATGCATACAGGGAAGTGTTTTCGTACTTTGGAAGAATTACGTGACTATGTAGAATCACAAACAGTCGAATTATTTTAAGTTAAGCAAGTATATTTAGGTGTGCTCATTGAAGAATAAAGTTTACAACACGGAGTCATACATTTTTTTAAGAAAATGTATGAAACTTAAAAAATATATAAACCCTATCTAGAGAAAACTCTCAACTCTCTCAGCCCAGAGAAATCTTTGAGTCATCAGTCACCATTATAAAAGAATCCACTTGAATTAATACACGCAAGTTCAAACAATGCATAGAGTCAACACGGCCCTAAGTTGTTTTTCAAGTTGGTTGAGTTTTCCCAATATCCCAAGTCAATGTGCTATGGTAGGTACAAGATAAATGAGTATGACTTAGACATGTGTGATGAGCTTACAATTTCAAAACGCCTGCATATTAAAATGGCTCAAATCTTTTTCTGATGTGCTTTTCAAGAACCTTCCGTTGCTTCTCTAGTTTAAGTACTAAACAGAAGAAGTACTTATGAAACTTCATTGAATCGAAATCAATATCGTTGTCTACAGGCACTTATAAACAGCAATAGTCTAGGAAATCGGAATATGCAATTTTTCTTGCGACGAAAACGCTCTAGCAGAAATTATCCCGGTTTTTTATACAGCGTAGGATTATCAATAAATATATAATGCATTTCTATGGTGTAACAAACGGTGTAAGGCTCTATACTACTGCTAGGTCCCGTATCAGACTAGAGAAAGCGTCAAAAAAATTAAGTTGTCACCAGTTTCCCAGGTTCACACAGAGCCATCGCAGCATCAGATTAGATAAGTAGGTACATAATTATGTACTTACTATCATGTTCCAACTGGACAAACAATATAATGACAGTGTTCATGTACTATTTTATTCGTTACTGTCATTTAAACTAGTAGATTTGCCTCGTTTCGATGGTGAGAACATATTATTTGGAGACAAAAAATCGAGGACGTTTTTGGAGGCGAACAGAAAATGCGTGTTACAGTGCGTGTTTTGATGGGTATTTTTTGTGAAAATTAAATTTGTGTTATATGAATTTTGTAATTTATTGGGCAAATTCGCAAAACAAATATAATATGTATTATACTAACTTTAAAAAAATATAAAAAGTAATAAATTAGATTTTTATGTAAGTATAATGAAGTAATGTAACCGACGTTCAAATACCACTTTCAAGATAATTTCATTTACTCACATGACAGTTTCAAAATTACGATCACGTGTCGAATTTAAATTGCTAATTATTCTAATAAATTTAATATTAAACATGTTCTTTTCTATTCAGGAAATGAGGCAAATTGGCATCTATTGCAAGCGCTAAACGATTAATAACCGACTATTATCATTCTTAAATGTTTGATATTTTTAATTTATAGTCAGTAATCAACATCGTTTTGATTATTTTAGTGCTTTAGCAAAATTGCAAATGAAACACACACAAACTGATACATTTCATGTACCTACCTACTATTTTTACTTCTATACTCGTACTTTTTATACTAGTCTCTCTAAAAATAGCCAGTCCCTTCATACAACACTACTAGAAACACTGGCCTCGTAAAATATGAAACAAAACAGCCGACCAAAGAGTATTCAATAATGTTTTTAAATGAATATTTCGCAATGAAATCCATAATGTTACTGGCTGATTAGACGATATAAGCCAGGGATTGCTGGTAGAAAAAGGGCCAAAGATAAGCGCCCGTATTTACAAACATTACTATGAGGTCTCACAGTGCGCGTGGACGTACAGGATCTCACACGAACCAATCACAGAGCTCTATTCAACGCTGTGCTGCTTCGCTTATGCAAGCATCGTTTGTGAATACGGGTGAAATAAGCCCAAGTTGATAATCCGCTCAAGTGGATAGCGAAGAGTACTCGTAGCTTTTAAAATAGTTGTACAGCCGGCTACACATTGAGTTACGCAAAATAGTACCTATTATACAAACTAATAAGATGCCACAGAGTTAAGTTTAATGTGCCGACATCCCTACTTGTTTCATGGAAAATTCACTGATGTGTTTTGTTGTTATATCCTACTAATATTATAAATGCGAAAGTTTGGATGTCTGTATGTTTGTTACTCTTTCATGCCAAAACTACTGAACGGATTTTGTTGAAACTTTACAGTATTATTGTTTGTAACCCAGATTAACATAAAGGCTATAATTTATGCCGATCTGTGACACTAAATTTCACGCGCGTGAAGTCGCGGGCAAAAGCTAGTTTTAATATAAAGCGATCGTCTTGTCACTTGAGAGGGTGTTTTATTCGATAACGTAACCTACGTTTTCAAATCGTTACAGTGCATACAAATAGAGACAATTTCGGAAGGCCTATGTTTTATTTATATAGTTCAGGGAAAGATAATTACTGTTGATTATGATTTTGAATTTTAGATACAATTATTAATATTATTATCATTAAGTATAAGATTTTTTTAAATCAATTAACTTATTTCTCTAATTTACCAAGTAATGCCAACTAAAATAAAAAAATAAAAAATAAAATAAAACTATTAATTTATAAAAATTGCTTCTAATTAACAACGACATTTTTTGGCGAAATATCAAGAATTGTCGATATTAAAACACTCATTTATCATTTATTTATGAAGATATCTTAAAAAAAAGATAAAATCGACAAGAGCAAAACCACGACACTTCAATCACGAGGCCTCTACTCTCATTATAATGACTGTAATCATTATTATACTACTATATTGCTTGGGAAAGTGCCACTAGAGCTTTACAATGAAAGCTGTCAGCACATTATACACCTGTAACCTTATTTATAATTTGCGTTTATTTTGTGAGTTTGCATTAGGTACTACTGGTATTTCGGATTACGGAATTTTTTATTTAGCATTAAAAAAATTGAATCTTTCAAATGCCTCTTTATACTTATTCGTTTATAGTCTCTAGCTAGACGCAAAAAATTACAGTAAATTCAGCATTATAACTGGAAAAATACAATACTAAGGAAGGTAAGGTACTAATTAAATAATCTAAAGGTAGGTACCTCTTTTTTATGAAGACATATTTCATATCTTGGTAGATATCATTACCATCACCGTTTTTGTTGTTCTGTAATGTGCTTACAATACATTCAGGGTTGGCAGAAAAAACAGTCATGAATGAAGTCGGCTTTATCAACTTAGCACTGCACCAGAAGGACACCCACGTCATTTTCAAGAAAACAGCAGCTTATTCTCCGAACATTATCAGTGTTACGTTAATTACTAATTACATTTTCCTGTACGTGAACACTACAGTATTAGTGCGGTTGCAGCCCTGAATGAGGCATAGACGAGCGAGGATCCCCACAGAGCGCCAGTCGCTTCGCGCCTTGCCATCGACACGCTCGCTTCAGTTTTCTAACGCTCGCGCTTCACCGTGGAATTCGAAATTCAGTGGGTGAATTTGAAAAACAAGTGACATTCTAGTGCTTTTTTTTCTCCACAAAGGAGTTCGTGATTGTTTTTGGTAAGATTTTTTTTAATATCAAAGCATGTTATTATTAAGAGGTTTTATTATTTTTAATTGTATTTTTAGTTAGTTATGTGTAGAAAATTAATTCGTTTTAATGAGTAATCATGACATCAATTAAAAATTGGTATCACTTTTTCAGCTTTTTATTGAGATACTTTAAGCAGTGTTTTGTACGAAATAGTAGTGCATTTTTAATTAAGTTAAATTCCATATTTAGCTATTTAAAAAATTATAATTGTGATTTATTTACTGCACCAATAAGCAATAGAGTGTTGTGATTTGCATAAAACAATGTTTGAAGCAGTTTTTGTGTTACACGCACGCGTGTTTTCTAATCCACTACGCACTGAGCAAGCTGCAATCAAGTGAAACATAATTTTATCTGCGTAATATTGCGGTCAACAAACTTAGTAGAATTTAGTAAAATTAAGACAGTCACTTATGTCATGTCTACATAATATCGTAGATAGAATATTTTTGAAATAATTTTACTGTTTCTCAACACAACGGTAAAACAAAAAGTATTGTGAATTATTACAAAGAAATTAATTTACGTGAATATCATCTGTGGTACACAAATGACGAAATTGGTCCAGTTTTTATCCTGAAAACAGGAAATGAAACTTCTGAAAAAACAACATATTTTTTAAAACATAGATAAGTAGGGCATAGATAAAACATTATAAATTCAGTAACATACCTACCTATCTCATAATGTTTTTGCTCTACCAATGTCGACTGAAAAATTAAGTCCATAATGTAACTACGACGGGGTCAATTAAATACGGGATCACTAACGGGTCACATTTTACCCGACTGCGCCAGAAGGAGGGTTATGTTTTACCGGAACACCTACGAGATCACCAAAGATATGCAAATACTCGTAATGCCTTAGTAATTTCACACATCTTAATAATTACAATTGATAGAAACCACAAAAGCGCGTAGGTTGATAATTTCGCATGACACACCATATTGTTTTACGGATGCAAATTACTCAAACAATGGAAAAATATAGCCCACGCCATGGTTCAAAGGGGATTCCACTCGGATTGAAAGTGACTAACAATTAACAATGTAAATAAGGAAAAGTTAACCAAATACGAGTATTCCTACAAGTCCTTTTAATTTTCGTTTAATTGTTGTTTTAAAGTTAGTTATTTGGTACTTTAAAAACGCTATCATGGCTGATAAACAAGCTATAAGGCTTCTCATTGAAGATAAGTAAGCTATATGTAGAGTCAAAATTATAAAAACTGTGGGTTCTATAAAGAAGAGATGTACCAACTACGGCCCTACCACACCACAAATATAAAGCTTCGTCATGATTTTTACTAAAATAATTTAAATATACGAGTACTTTTAGAGGCAAGCCTTTTAATTTAATTCATTATGCATTCCCAGAAGGAGATAGGCACACACTGTTTGTCCATACCTATTGTCTTAAAACCTTTTGTATGCAATAATGATAGACATGTAATGTCACATTTAGGAAACATAGCCCAACCTCGAAACCTTAAAAAAAGTCGTAGGACTGTACAGTCAGTGTCAAATAGTTAGTGACACTCAAAGTGGCCAAAAAGTTGACAACATTACCTTATTGCAAACTAGCTGACCTGGCGAACTTTGTTCCGCCTTAATGGCAATAAATAAGCAGACTTTTTTTTTAATTCCGAACGGGATAAAAAGTATCCTATGTCCTTCTCCTGGCTCTAAACTACCGCCCTGACAATTTTCAGCTAAGTCGGTTCAGCCGTTCTTGAGTTATAAGTGGAGTAACTAACACGACTTTAACAAACAAGACTGTAACAAAGATGTGTTGCGGAGTTTTTGGCTACTTTGGGTGTCACGAACTATATGATGCTCAGTGTATGAGTTGCTTTTCTTTAGAAGCAGTTGATAAGAATTGTAGTGTTACAATAAGACATTAAAATGTTTTACTTTTGTAAGATACCTACTGAAAATATACGTTTACGTAGGTAGATGGGATATCATTAGCAGTTATTTATCTCAACTTTCAAGGTGAAAAACACAGACAATAATATTAATTAATCTTTTTGGAGTAAGTAACTAGGTCCTTTAATAAATGCAATAATAATCCATTACTGTAATGTGTAAAATCATTAACAATTTTCTATGGAAACGTCTCTAGAAGTCTAGAAATCTGTCCATCAAACTCGATCGTAAGCTTTCATCAGTCCGTGATGACAAGAAAGCAAATGCGCAAGAAAGTTCGCAGCTTCTAATGTGGTGCGCGTGCGCACGTCGAATAAATAAATACCTACATAAATTACCCATAATCAACTGATTCTGATTGAATGGATTACCACGTGAGTTACTTTAAGTAGGTACATTCAGCGTCAAATAGTTTGTGAAAACCAAAGTGGCCAATTATTTGACAAGACAGCCTTATTCCAATTGGAACAAAGAAGTGTTGTGAACTTTTTGGCTACTTTGGGTGTCACGAACTTTGACGCTGACTGTACTACCAATAAACGATTATGGTATCAAATAAATCTTTTTTTAAACATAACCCTCTTTCTGTCGCAGTGGGGTAAAAATAACTTAGTTTAACTGTCATTATGTGCCAATGGAAAACACATAGTTATAGGTCAATCATATGAACTACATGTGCATATGTGTAAGTAGTTTTAAGTTTGAATTTGAGATAAGCATCGATTGTTTACTGAAATTTTAAATGGGACATTTACGTTTATCCAACAATTTTCTACACACGTCACCTCATTTATGCTCATCTCGGTAACTCAATTCATACAGTTAACACTCGTAATTTGAATTAGAGTAGCTTTCTCAAAGGTCAATTGATCAAATTTACCCTCCACCACCGACCATCAGCCTCTACAATTAAATAAATTAGCGTAACCACCGATGATGGTCTCTTTATAGGTATACATAATCTGAAGAAGAAAGAAGTTAATATTGTATTTACTGAACATACCTTAATAAGTCATTAGATGATAATAGATGATAACAACATTGGTCTTTACTTTTGTTGTAATTTTCTTTCAAATTATAGAGTAAGAGTTCTCGCAACCTTCGGTTGACTCAGTCACTTTTTCTTCTGAGTTTCTTCTATTACGAAAGTGCCTATTTAGTTACTTAAAATATTTGAATAAGAAATTAGATGATTACCGCATTAATCGTTACTTTTTTTGTAACTTTACTTCAAATTATAGAGAAGTCTTAGTAGCAAACTTCGACTGACTCAGTAACTTTTTCTTCTAAGCTTCTTCTATTATTAAATGATACTCAAATATCAATCTACGCCCAAGAATAGATTGACACCGGTGATTCGTTAAAATATTTCACAATCAACCAATCAGCAGTTCTGAATAATGAAGGTGTAAGCGCTATTCCATAAAAGCCTAAAACCTTCAAGTATCAAACAAAAGAAATCTTCAGCGAATTCAATCGGCCAGTTATACTAAGAGGCTTCATTAATTGAACGACGTTCCAAGTGCAGCCCAGTTTCACTGCTAAATGAAAAATGGTCGAAACATGATTGGAAAGCGCGCGTGCGTTCCGATCCAGTGCGCGGCATCTAGCATGATTTATTTTACGTTTCTAGTAGTTTACATGCGATGACATACAGCACGAAGCAAAAACTATATTTACGGGTGACGATCAAGATAAAAAATATGGGCCTAATATGGATAAGTTCAGAATAAACACAACATGAAGCAGAAACGATGAAGGTGACGGCAAAAATGCAATAAAATTCATGTAATTCACAGATTATGAGAATTGAGAACTCATCAGTAATACAGAGAAGTCAGGCTAAGTTAAAAAATATTTTTTGCAATTCTTTACGAAACAAGTGACTTGCAAACTGGGTATTACATTAACGAAACGAGTAACAGGGAAAGTTTCCTATTTTAATGCAGAACCTAATTAAATCACGTTAAATAAAAAAGAAAACTTCCATTTTGGCGCAATCATAAAACGCGCTAGTTAGTTTTTTTTATTAAATTGTTTCGCTGAAAACGTATCCCCGATTTCCCCATTTAACAACAACATTAAGCAAATAAGTTGATTCACCGAAAGAGCAAAAAAGGTAGTTAAAACCGTAACAATCTGTTAAGTTAATGTTATGTTGTGTGTCATTTAGAGTCAACAGCAGCTCATAATTAAAAGCACTATAAGTCGCTAGATCTCACGATAGTTGAACCGGTTTCAAGATCTATGGGATGTAAACATAGTCCTATTAATACTACATCCCATGGAGTTGCTAACTTGTTTATTAAGATTAAACTTAAGGGTAACTTTTCATAATTGCTATCTGTCATCCCAACTAATCCCAACTATAATATTATAAATGCGAAAGTAACTCTGTCTGTCTGTCTGTCTGTTACGCTTTCCCGCTTAAACCTCGCAACCGGTTTTGATGAAATTTGGCATAGAGATAGTTTGAGTCCCGGGAAAGAACATAGGATAGTTTTTATCCCGGTTTTTGAAACAGGGACGCGCGCGATAAAGTTTTTCTGTGACAGACAAAATTCCAAGCGGGCGAAGCCGCGGGCGGAAAGCTAGTGTAATATAAAACCTTATGACGTCATTTCTGGCGATTTCATGACACTCAAGTATAGGTATAGCATTTTTTCCGTCGTGAGAAAATACAGAGTGAAGGACTGTCTGAAGTATCCAAAACTTTAAAAAAAAATGTATTTATTGCCTTCGAACCATTAGACAGGTACTGAGCCCCGATTACGGTAACTTTTAACGTCTACAATCCAGACGCGTTTCTGATTCTGCAATACGATTGGTCAAAACAGCTGACGTACGCTGTTGAACGACCAATCGTATCGCAGAATCGAGAAGCGTGTCTGGCTGGATTGTTGACGTTAAAAAATACCGTAATCGGGGCTCAGGTAGTTAGACTTACAACTATAATAATATGAAGTACACCGAAGGCAATTGGACCTGGCTCAGTCTACGTTGTAAGGAGAGATCCTTGCTCCACTGGTTAAACAGTGATTGTTTTTTCCAAAATAAAGACACATCGATTTTCATTTATTTTACTCATGTTTTTATTTCAAAGGACATTGTCAGAAACCGCCTAAAAAACCGCCCAAAAACATTAACCCATCATAATTATTTTCTATTTTTTTTAATACATTAAGCACCCTTTNGTTGCCCGCTCTTTTGTTTTTTAATACTACTACGCTGAATATTGTGTGCGGATTGGGTTGTCGTACAGGGGTACTACATGGTAAAATAAATCTCGGAGGCGAAAGCAGGATAATTACTAATTTAACTACTTGAAGAAGTTAATTGATAGACTTTGATACTGCAATAAAAGAGGCTTGTAGTAGACCAAGGAAAATGAACACACAATGAAGTTTCGCCCCGAATCGAAAGTTTGCCTCGTTTCAGAGTCAAGATCAATTGTTAAATTAATGTTTAACTTATTAAAGGAGCATTTTAAGTTTACGCACACTACTTAATCCGCATTGCAAGATGCAATGACTAATTTTATATGGTCTATTACGTGTGTTATTAGGCCTTTCGCCTTTAATTTGAAATCAAATAGATACATAGGTATCTATGATTATAGCCATCCGTCCGTTGGGTGTGTGTTAGATATAGCCTGCGGGCCAAGACAAGTGGCACTTTTTGAATTTGATTGCTCCGAAAATCGAATCCCTTCTTCACGGAGCGAAGTAACAAAGTAGGTACTTATTACAAAAAACGTCTGAGCGAAGGTTTACATGAAAAATAATAGGACCTCTTCCTAGAACAAGTGTGTCATTCAAAATACATAATGATGGTGACAGTTAAACATAATAAGTTGTGCAGCAAGATTGCAATTGGAGTGATCAAAACAAGCAAAGATTTGTATGTGCCTCAATTTTCGTTGCGCGATCTATAAATTAGAAGCATGAAAATAAAATAAGCATTTAATCTTTAAAATACTTGATTCCTTTGCTATTTTTATTTTTTTATTTGTGGCAACCAAACCTCTCTGGGAGGTTTATTTCTGCCAATGTCGAGTGAAAAATATTGACATAGTTATCAATAGAACGTGGGTGTTTCAGTTCTATTGATTTTTCATGGATTCCGTGGAGTTAAGTATGCCCGTAAGCAGGTTTCGAGACGCCACCGGGTCCAAATCGGGTTGTTCATATTCATGTTGTTTATTTACGTGCAATATGTGGGCATATTGTAAAAGTGGAATGCCGAGTTGTATTTCTAAAACTTGTTCTATTATTTTATACTATTTGGCTGCGACTCGGCGTGACGACAATACAAAACATTTTTCGCGAATCGGTGTTCATACATTCACACAATACATTAGACGCCATGTTGTCATAAACGACATATTATAAAATCGCTGTGATTTAATATTCTTAATCATTAATTTTATGGCAAGTGTCCATCAGGAATCATTGTTCTTACACACAGAATCGTATTATTTCGCTTTCGGGTAGTAATATGTCAAAATTGTTGGTTCTTTAGGCGAACAATGTATGGAGAACGAACATTGTCCTTTATAACAACTGTTTCCTGTGTACCAATGTAATTTAGATAGCTTAGTTAATTAGTTCAACGATTATTTTAACGATTTATTTTGTAAACTTGGCGTGTTACCACACGATTTTATATTTCGTATAAAAATATTTCAAGTTACTGATTTCGGGTTCAGCATATCATCACAGTCTTTAAATTCAGTTACACAATGAAACTGAATAAACACTAAAACCGAGTTGCATCATCTTACTTTCACATTAACAAACGTCAAAAATCTGTCAAACTCCATACGAAAAACACCGGTTATTGTTATAGTTACAGTTAAAGTAAGCTGGTGCAACTCAGTCTAACACTGAACCTAAACGATTTGCCTACCTGTTCCTTTAATTATTTATGATAACGACTGATCATAATCATCAGCATAACCCGCTCCTATGTAATTATTGGTGGTTCAATCAATCGGATGACTTCATCGAATGCTATTCAAATGATCGATACATAGAACGATAGACAAACAGGTTTAAGGGATTTAATATACGAGTATAATGGTTTTTCATAGACATTTGCATGGTTCTGACTGAAACTGGACGTAAATAAGAAAGCTAAATAAAAAAGTTAGGCCACTATTCTCTTGGCTAGAGCTTTGCTAGTCGTCGAGCCTCTTTAAATAAGTTATTGTAAGTGATAAATATTAAAATACTATTAACCTTAATAGTCATGCTACACCATTATAGCTTGTTACAAGTGTCAATTAACACATCTTTACGCAATGAAACCCCTATTGTCATCGTGAACGTAACGGCGTTTTGCTTACAATAGTGACTTACTTAGTTTTTTTGCGCCGCTTCTTCTCAGCAGTAGCAGAAGTAGGGTTAAAGTTATGTAGTACACATAGGTAGGACTAGTTACGTTTTTCTAACATTGCTAAAATAATTTATAGTAGAACGTACTAAAAGATAATTCATTGAAGGATGTTGAAAGGATGTTGAAGGTGGGAAAAAATGAACAAGACATAATGTAATAAACAGTACAAAATATTATTTTAAGAATGCCCTGAGGGATGATGGTGTAACTATTTCGTCATACATTCGCTGGCTGGACTTAACCCTCAATCTGAGTTAGGAAGTTCTGTAGTAGGATTGTAGATTGTAATAAAAGAGGTCCATTGCTTGGTTGGTCCACCCACAAGGTGGACCGACGACCTGATAAAGGTAGGAGGAAGGCGCTGGATGCAGGCCGTTACCAACCGCGCGATGTGGAAGTCATTGGAGGAGGCCTATGTTTAGCAGCTGTGGACGTCCTATGGCTGAAATGATGATGATGATGATGATTGCTTGGTTTATATATTATCTAACCAACATTATTTCTTCCAGGTGTCGGATTACGGGGGCGGAGCGCGAGTGGTGTGGGCCATGTCGGCGGGTGACCGGGAGGCGGAGGCGCAAGCCAAGAAGGGGGAAGAGGGAGCCACTCCCGACCGGGACAGCCGGGCGGCCGCCGCGATCAAGCAGTACTGGTGCGTCGGGCTAAGGGCTGTAGAGCTGGTAAGAAGAATAATTCGTTGTCACTCTTTAAGACTCTTGGAGAGAATATAACACCGAGCACAGAAGGGGGAAGAGGGAGCCACACCCGACCGGGACAGCAGGGCCGCGGCCACGATCAAGCTTAGGGCTTAGGGCTGTGGAGCTGGTAAGAAGAATAATCCATAGTCTTATAAAGAATTAAGCACCAGCCACTATACACTGGCCGGGCCAAGAAGGGGGGAGATGGAGCCACTTCCGACCGGGACAGCTGGGCGGCCGCCGCGATCAAGCAGTATTGGTGCGTCGGGCTAAGGGCTGTAGAGCTGGTAAGAAGAATAATTCGTTGTCACTTTTAAGACTCTTGGAGAGAATATAACACCGAGCACAGAAGGGGGAAGAGGGAGCCACACCCGACCGGACTGGTGCGTCGGGCTTAGGGCTATAGAGCTGGTAAAAAGAATAATTCGTTGTCACTCTTTAAGACTCTTGGAGAGAATATAACACCGAGCACAGAAGAGGGAAGAGGGAGCCACACCCGACCGGGACAGCCGGGCGGCGGCCGCGATCTAGTACTGGTGCGTCGGGCTAAGGGCTGTAGAGCTGGTAAGAAGAATAATTCACCATTTTTCCATGCTCTTATACGGGATTAAGCACCAGCAACAGAAGTGGGAACTAGGAGTCACTCAGGAGGAAGTTGGACCATTTACAAATCAGAATTTGGAAAGATGCTACCAAAGTATGTAGGTAGATATACGAATCAGGTTAATTAAAAAAGTAAAAAAACTAATGGACAGCTTCATACATTTCCACTGAGTTATTCTTCCGTTGAAAATCATTTGCTGCCTAATCAAATGGCTATCAGCAACTTCCGAATGCGTCAGCGTCGATTTCGCACACTCATCTTTTATTTTGTGCTTGTTGAAGCACAACTTCGAACCACTGAGCCTTCAAGTTTTCTATCAACCACGCCGTTACAAATCGATGGGATAAAAAACGCATTGATGGGAACAAGACAGTGTGTCCAGGGTCACTCGATAATATTTAATTAACCGCAGTGTCCTTGGAAATAATGTGCAGTTCTGTAATATTATAGATTATTAGGTAGCACTTGAAGTTTATAATGTTATGGTGTTAAAGAAAATCGAGGGAAATTGCGAAGTATTTCACTGTGGAAACCCTTGGGGGAGGCCTTTGTCCAGCAGTGGACGTCTTTCGGCTGAAACGAACGATCGAACGAACGAACTGCACTTGATGCAAATAGCTTTATGACATTTAAAAAAATATTTGAACAATAATAAATAGTAATTTCAATCCAAATAGTATTTCAGCGCTTTAACCCACGCATATCTAATAATTATTTCCCTGATTTAAAACATCTACTGAAAAAACCATCAGTAAACAGATCAGAAAAGTATAAAACCAAGTGTGTTGCGCAGTTTATTAACCAACTTATTACAGGCGTTAGAGCTCGTTTGAAACCATAAAAAATACCACCCATAAAGATGAACGGTAACCGCACTGAGCGATCCCGCAAAACGGTTTGAAAGAGAAAACTCAGATTATGGATGTATAGAAGAAAACCGTTTACTAGTACTTGCGACCACGAATGACAGTGAAAACAAAATTCAAGTGGCACTTTCACTGAGATGATGGGTAGCACTTTTATTTTAATTTTTTCTCATGTACGTGACCTTTGTTGGCGGGATGGTTAAAAGCAAAAATATACAATAGAAAGTTGTAGGAAAAAGCGTTGAAATTTACCCAAATGAGCATCAATTTCAAGTTAGTGTCTTGTACTGTTTTGAGTTGATATTTCGGCGAAGTTACGATGTGTAATTTTAAGCTTTCAAAAAAGCTTAATCATAAGGTTTCCGAAACGAATCAAAGAAGGAAGGAGCGTTTCATGATTTTCAATCAGAATCGAATAATTTACATTTGAAGTACACACCTGTTTCATTGATATACATGTACACTAAGTATTAATAGTACTTACATCTAGAGATCGGCTAATCTAGGGTGGTCCCCCTCTCTCTTAATTGTCGTGCCCTACAGGGTTCATGATGGATGCAATAAATGATTGTGATCTAAATCTCTAAGTACTATTTCCACCAATTAGATTCTAGCTTTGAAATAATTTGTTCCAGGTAATTACAGTGATAGCCATCGGCCTGATCGTCGCCGCGCTGTACTCGCCGCAGGTGGTCGAGAAGAATGTCCACCACATAGCCGTCATCTACTCTGCTTACTCGAGTACGTATAAAAGTAAACATTCGATGACTTGACCTTCTCTGACAAATAGAGCGTGAAGTAATTGATGGTCAAAATATAAAAGATTTTTTACTGTTGAAATGAATCAAATGGGTACCTTAGTATATGTATTACTAACGGAAGTTCAAAATTATTATGCTGCTTATGTAGATACAATACAGTTTAGTCATGGGTCTGATCCTGGTACACTTAAACTTTGTTTGCATCCATTTTTATGCAAAAGAAAGGGAACAGTAGCCATGTTCTATTCCACAATTAAAATCGAAGACCGTCCTTCAAATTACAACGTTACTTACGTTGGTTTTCTCTGATGCATTTAAAGCAGTTTGTAACAGCAGGTTTTGCACAAAGAAGTAATGTAACATCCATCCATTCATCCTCACAAACTATCGCGATTATAATATTAGCATACTAACTACGATTTCCAGTGGTGTTAGATTCGTTTGCAAAAATAGCCCGTGACGTTCAACATCGGTCCTTGTTAAACAATCCTGCAGCCGTGACCCAATTGGCGACGAGGAATTTGTTCTAATCTTCCAATTTAACAATTGCTAACACCAGAACGATTTCAAACTTGATTGGTGACGGTTAGTTTTCAATTTTACCATTTAATTAACAAGTTTTTCTTTCACAAACATTAACATTTAGGTAGTATCTATGACCTTTCCTAAACCAAAGTTTTACGACCTCATTAACTTGTTTTCACAGCGAACGAATGTTCCGTGATGGCAAAACATTTTGATGAGTGCTGAAAGTTTCTGTGAAACGAAAAGAGCCTATATTGAATGGGAAAACTTTTAATTCAATAAAGAAAACAAACCAGTTAATATTATGCTCCATATTATTAGTTGATGTTAAATTGTCTAATTATGTATTTACTTACGAAAAAGTGGTCTATTATTTTGGCATAGGCAATAGTAAACTCTGGTGTAGGTACTTAATTTGTTGACAGCAGGAAACTGCTCAGTGAACTTTTGTATAGCTCTGAGTTGACAATTTCTTAGGACAGAGTTGGTTATTTGCGACGTTCATTAGTTTATAAAGATGACAGAGAAATCTCATTATATTATTGAGTTATTCAATATTTCAAAACGTCGTTTCGTGACAATAAAGATCTTACAATCACTGGTCAAATTATAATTGCATAATTGAATATTTACGTAATTTATGATGCGATTATGTCGCGCGCTGACCGGCGCTGTTCTGCAATGCCTTCTACAAAGAGTTTCACTTTTATTCGCTGGAAAATTGGTTTCAATGAACTCGGTGCGAAAGTGACGTGTAAAGCACAGACCACAAGGTTGCGGACTGGATTACAACGTTTGAAAAAGTGAGAAAGTCGCTAATGAACAGCTGTTCTAATCACGAAGTATTGGGTCTTTATTCGCAACGATAATTTATTATTCATTATATTATGATACGACATTATCCCGAGTCTTAAAGTTAAAAGTTTTATAAGTTGAGAATGTTTTTATTGCGATAACAGCTTATGAAACTTAAGAGTTTTCAATGCACTTTCTTTTCTAGGCAAGCCTAAGTAGTAAGTAGCCTACTCCGTCGAATGCCTAGATTTCATCATATTCCTCCATTAAGTAAAGAACCTATCTTATCTAGTTCTAATCAATAAACCAATTTTTAATGAGGTATAATTAGTAAATAAAAAAATTACGGGTAAAAGTTAAGTTAAAGGTGTGTCCAAAGGTTTACAATTGTAAACCGTTGTGGCACACTGATACTGCGGTGTTGACACGCGTACGCTTCCTCCTTTTTGTAAACAGCCACAATTTTTACGCTTTTTCACACGAGAATGGCATGAAAACAATGGCGTAGAGCGTTGAATTGGCAGTAATTAGTTGTGTTCATCCCTACAGTTTGATTAGAAACTATATGTCCTGTTTGAATCCCGCTAGAAACAAGTCAAACCAAAGTTGGCTTATATGGAATATAATGATTGGTGAATGAGCGGAAACTAGCAAAGGACTTTTCCCAACGCTGCAACTTCTTTGTAGCCAGGATCTTAAGCTTGATCGCCAACAAAAACTCTAGTCTTAAAGCCAATGTAGAGTATCGGCCAGTGGAAGCTGGTAGTGGTTTCCTTTTTTGAGGAGCTCTGATAATACCAGCGTCATGAAACACGCTGAGTAGGTGTCATTTTGGTTCAGTAAATTTTATTCCGTCAAATATCTGATATTGTGTTAAACTGTGTTTGAACTAATAAATTATTTTTATTTATATTTCTTTCAATTTATCTTTCTTTCTTTCAATTTATCTTTCTTTGTTCAGGCTTCATCCTCATCACTGGCGTGCTGATCATCGCCCGACTGCTGGGCGAGTCTGCTGGGTGGAGGACCTCCATCGGCTTTTCACTGTTGGGCGCCATTATGTTCACCGCTGCCGCCGCTGTCATCTTCTATGGTAAGTCCTTATTTTTTGTCCTTGGCCAGTGGGAAGTATAGCGTGAGGAGAAAGTCTTGATGCAGTAACTTATACGCTCTATCAAGGTTCGCATCGTATGCAGGTAGATAGTAGAACCATAGGAAGAAGAAGAAGACAGCCCATTCCTCAAAGCTGTGCTTGTAATTTGCACGTTATCGCTTCTTGTTAAAGTAAAGGCTACACGCACACACATGTTTGTCGCAAAATCGTACTTATTCTAATTGAATAACATATTTTATGTGTATGTTTAACCTGATAATATACCGTCGTGCGTTCAGTATTAAACTGACTCTTCAATAACCTTGTCAAGTTCAGGTATTAATTGAAGAATGCTTAATAAACGACTATATTGTTATTTTATTGCGCGTTAGTTTAACTAACTGATTATTATGCACGCAGTACCTCAGAGCCCGCATGGCCGTATAAGGACGGGCCTACACTAGGCTCATTAAATATAGACTTCTGGTCCTTGGAGATTGGTGTTATGGCTTCCGTTCGTTTCTAAACCAGAACTGATTTGAATTGTATTTTTTTTAACTGTTAATTACATATTTTGTTATTTGTTTCATTTTATGACATTTGTGCAACGTCTATCAGCATAAAAATTAAAATATTTAATTTAAAAACTAAGCTGAATAACCACTAATATCTTTGTCACAAATTGCCATTGTTCTTAATTGTTCTTTTAAAATTGTAGTAAGTACCTTTAGCAAAGATAAAAGTAATATGCAGCCTACATAACTTTAATTCTTTTTTTATTTCCAGACTGGCACAGGTCGTACTACGCCAACCAGCGCCCCAACAAGCAAGCGTATGACCTCCTCATCTCCTCCGGCGTCTTCGCGATCATCAACGCCGCCGTTTTCCTCTTCCACGCCTTTTTCACTTTCAGAAAAGAAGCCGACTATTAATCTGCCAATCTTAAAGTAACCGCTTCTAAATTATTGATTAATTTTGCCCCGCATCGGTGAACGCTATTTTCGATTCGCAAATTGACGAAGACTGTATATCTAAATAAAAATTATCTCATAATGTAACGTTAAAATCAAAATTTACTCGATTCTATAAGCCGGTAAGCTCGGATTGTCAAAGTATTCATAAAACTACTTTAGTTATAAGAATTTGTTTATTTTATTGTATAATTTTGTTTTGTGTAAATATTTTTAAGCGTTCCAATGGTCCCGTCGAATGGCTACAATAATTATATTTAATATTTATAGACGTAAATTGTGTTGAAGCAGTTGCCCCCAAAAAGCAGTTATAAAATTAAAAGTTTAATTTTTGCCCTATGCTGCAGCTTTGGAATAATAATAGCATGTACTTTTTTTCTAATTTCATTTGCCCTGTGCTGTAGCTAAACATTACATTACATATTTCACAGCAGTTTTTCTTTTGTTAAATTAAGGTAAAACAGGCAACTATTTTTTACTGTCGTATAAACTATCTGGCAGCTTACATAAGATAGGTACATCTGTCGGCAGCTACTTATTTTAAATTTAGTTTTAGAATTTGCAACTTCTAAATTCTAATTATAAAATTTTGGACAATCTCGAATTCACCAAATAGGTTTTTATTTTAAGGCAGCTATTACACTATTTATGTTATTTTATTTTTATAGATGTCAAAATCGTGTTGAAGCAGTTGCCTCCAAAAAGCAGTTAGATAAAAAGTTTCATTTTTGCCCTATGCTGCAGCTTTTGAATAAAATAGCATGTAATTTTTTTTCTAAAACGAATTGCCCTATGCTGTAGCTAATATTACATACTTTTATACACAGCAGCTATTACTTCTGTTAAAAATAAGGTAAAATTAAAATGGGCAACTATTTTTTTACTCTCGTCTAAACTATCTGGCAGCTTTACATTGATACATTCTATTGGCAGCCACTTTTGTTTTAGTTTTAGAATTTTAAATTATAATTAAAAAAATTACCCATCTTGAATCAATAAAAGGCAGCTTCCACCAAATAGGTTTTCATTTTAAGGCAGCTATTACTTTTTCAGTTTTTTTTTTACTTTTTTGGCCGATAGTGCAAGTAAAGGTAAGGAAATACATAGTTATAGTAAATTGAAAAGCTTAAAGAAAAGTATTTAGTTTTAAGTTTCCATGTATTTAATCAATTGTATCCAATCCAATATAATTGGTAGCTTTTCTTTTAGTTTGATAAGTTAATTTTTACGATGTAATTATTATACTGAAACATTCCGCTAAAACCAAATTATTAGGCTTAAGTTTAATTACATTTTTATTTAAATTATTGGTGCTAATTTACGACGGGCAGTTAGAATTTGTTTTGTGTGTTCATTGGCACTCTCAGCTTAATTTAGCTTTTCTGTATTAATTTTGACCAGCATCTGACCATTAACTTCGAAATTTTGTAAGTTAGCATCGCCCGACAAATTCATTCAACAGTTTTTTTATTGCGATAAACAACGAAAAATTCTGACAGATTTTGTGGGTTCAGTCAAAATTTTTGCGGTAACATTTATATTGGTGTAACAGAATATTTCTTTATCGTGCTTTATTATAATTTTAGATGCGAAATAATACCACCGTATGGAATTTTAACTGTCCATATTTGAGTTAAAGTTAGTTTTAGCACACAGCATGCCAAAAGTCAAATATTTTCAAGTTAATCAGCAGTCTTGGTTTTTTTGTTTGAATGTATAGCTTTAACGATTATGCAAAGCAAAAATACTTAGTGCACTTATTATTGAAAGTAGCTTTTGCATATTAATAAAGAATTACATGTATCCATGAATAGAATATAGTCTAAGTTATTTCATAGAATTAAATAAAACCCATAGCAAAATTAAACAGGCATCGATCCAGTTATTAGTTGTTGTCGATTTTGTATCGAGATAAAGATAAATAAGTAGATCTCTGTGGAAATTTTTAACTTTATTTATCGGTGTTTAGACTAATTTATTTTTTAGTTTATTTATTACGTATGTTTAAGTTAAGGTTATTTTTAAAGGGAGAACCAAAGCAGTAATCAGTATCCGTCCAGTTGTAGTTAAGTTTGTCTCCTTGCTGCTTATTCTTTCTTGAAAACATGACTTATTTTTTGTGACATAGGTAAATAATAATCATAATAATTTTCTTCTTTTATTAATAATCTACACGATTAACATTGGATTCATGATTAAAATTAGCAAAATTACTAACAACAAATCTCTTAAGAATATAATTCATCATCATTTAGTTAAGGATCTTCTACTTTTAAATTGGAACAATGTAACTTACAATTAAATAATTTCATTTGTGTATTTATTTTTAGTTATAATTACGGATTAGTTTTAATAATTTTGTATTTAAATAGGTATGACGTGTAGTTTGCGTAACCTAGGATCGTTGTAACCGGCGCTAATGTTACCTTATGTACCCGTTCTCCCAAAACACAATAAACAAATATAAAAGGTACTCGCGTCTATAAAAATGTATAAATTCTTGTAGCCAATTATCGACAATTAATCTTAATTTATGTATCCGTTGTTTATTAATAAATACATGTAATTAATTTACGCGTGTTTCATTTTTCTAGCCCATTTCTCTCTCATGCAACCGTTTGGGGTAATTTATGTCCTCATTAAGTAATGAATTAATAATTATTTTTAATTGCAAGAAATTAATTANTAAAACAGATCGACCATGCTTCCCGTTCAACTACCCTCCACGGAATCCTTCCTTTGCTATAAGTTATAAAAACCTTAAACTGTCAATGTCAACTGTCAAAACTTTCCTGTCAATATGACAAAACAATATTATATAGTCCAAAATACTGAACTGTCCTATCGATGACATTGACAGCGGGGCGCCACCGTCAATACCGAATCGCTGGTTCCGATTTTTGCCATGTTGGAAACCATAAAGTTGAACGATGGTAGCGCCCCCCTGTCATTGAGTTTGGCGGGACAGTTCAGCGTGGGTCATCTATATGTCGGTTGCGAATTGGTCATGCGTGTACTCCGGTTCACTTAGCGAAGATGCACATAAAGGATAGTTCCTTGTGTGAATGTGGCTTAGACGAAGGTACTACTAATCATATTTTCTTCAACTGTCCAAACGTAGGTTCCTCCTTATTAGATTTCCTCCCTGAAAGCGTCCCTCGCCCTACTAATATTAAATGTTTATTAAACTCAATGAATCCCCCGCTTTTAAAACAGTTATCAAAATTTATCCAATCCCGCAAAATTCGTTTGTAAGTAATCCAAATTATTTTTCCCCTCCCAACCTTCCTCCTTCCTACCCTCTTTCTTCCATTTATTTTAATCGGTATTATGTATATTATATTTGTGTTGTCTCAATTTGTGATGTCTTTTTTGTTTAAGGTACTCACACAAATAATTTAGCTTAACATTTTAAACTTAAACATTTTTGAATTTTATAAACCCTGTAAACTTTGTCAAAGCTGATTACGTGACATTGGCGAAATCGTGGTTCTCAAAACCAAGTTGTGGCCAAAATAAAAGAAGAAGAAGAAGACAAAACAATAACCTAAAAAAAACATTAAAAAAAAGTAAATGGAATGAATTGAAAATTGACCAATCAAGGTCAAATTGTTAATCTTGGGGTAATATTATTAGTAGTCTTACCTTTTCAGCTTTCGCCAGGTAGATCCACAGCTTCCTCCAAGTGGAGAACTTCTTTTGATCACTAAAGTTGTATTGCATTTCTTTCGACGCATATCGTGTGCTTAGGGGAGACCGGTAGTTACAGAATTCTGAATTTTGTATTTCTACGGGTGCGTCAATTGAAAACATCTTGCAAAGTTACAATATCTCTTTAGTTAAAAGTTTTATTTGAGAAATAAACACGACGATCCGTCGGTCTTTAGATACAGCTGTCACTTTACTGAGCGCGAACATAACCTATTTCAAGTTTCAAGGTCTAAGCTACGCGGGAGATTTCAATTTGATAACAAGGTTATCGCAGAGGCTAGGCCTGACGAAATAACAATACGTGCGGCTATTTCATTACTTCTAAATACCATTATAATAGCCGCACTGCAATTTGTGTACCTACTTCTATCGAAATAAGTAGGTGGTAGTCCTAGATGTCTCAAATCTGTTCTACCTTTAATTGTTTTAATAAACTTTGACCCAGCAACAACAAGCTTATTGGAGATAAATTGTAGGTATCCTATTTATAGCATGAGCAATCAACTTCAATAAACTACCACTGATGTAATATCAAGAATTACGAAGTTAGCCAAAACAAACATCATGACGCAAATATCGGTCAGCGAAAGTGACTGACTTAATGATAATCGCGACAGTACCTCTTTACTTTTGAACCTCTTAGCTCTTAGACCTCAGAGAAAGAACAGGCTCAGGTACTTTTTGTCGCAAAAATATAAGTAGTTGAAGGGGTGGCATAAATTGTAAGTAGATTCTATCTCCAGTCTGTACTTATCCCATAAGTGGGTAATTTCATTTATTATGAAAAAAAAATGTAGGTAGCTACCTATTTAATTTCTATTTTATAATTAAAAAAAAAGAATTTTAAAATATAAACATTTTATTTACAGCAATATACCTCCAATTAACAAAAATAAGATAGACATAATGTGAGCCTCCACATACATGCTAAAATATACTGGACATTATTACAATAGTAAATCATACTTGTCATAAAGCTAACTTAGGATAAAATGATGAATTTAACTGTCAAACCCAAAACTGTTTATTTCTAGGTCAATTTTGGACATAATAATGTATAAATAATTTCAAAAAGTTTACAACAAATACTTTGTTCGTATTTTCACAAATATACAATTATTTCTTTAGTTGGTAACATTATAGCACCCCTATGAAACACGATGGCGATGCCCATTTGCATTGAGCTTGCTTTTTTATATTTTCTTCATTTATTCAATAAGAATACTTCAGTCATTTACAAATATTTCTTGCATACTCAAGAAAACATTTAACATTTCATATCCATTACTTTTCTAAAACATTATCATAAATAATATCTACAAATATTACGATATTACATGATAAATAACAGTATACTGTACTCATAAACAATTTTTCGTAAAAAACTTCCAGTAAAAGTTGTTTTTGAAAAAGTTTTGTAGAAAAATAGTTATTGTCTCTTACTGTGGGTTTATACTCGTACTATTCTTAAGATTTCTCAATGGATCGTTTTAAGTTCAACAAAATGGCTGTGAGTTTCTGTAAAGCTTCAATCACACCAACGCGTGCAGATGGGATCATTATGCCAATGACAGGCCGTGTGAACTGTCATGGGTCGCGCGACCTGTCATTGGCCTATGATCGCCGGCGCACATACGTAGATTTCAACGATTTAGGCGGCCAAAACCCAGTTTTCCAAAATCAATTTATTGAAAAATAAACCATGTACGCGTGTAGTACACACTTCCAGGAATACCATGGTACCTTTTTCAATGTTCAACGAGCGCAAATCTACCCTCTAGAGTAGTCTGAATGCGATAGTTCGCTTAACGTGTAAGTATTTGTTTTCGGGCGCTCTTAAACTTACAACTTTTGTAAATTGCATATTTATTTTCAAAACCATTGTTTTCGAGTAACAGTGGTGGATTGCGATAATTAAGGATAGAGCCTATGTTTTTCAACAGTAATTTACTTAGTTTTTGTTTTCCTAAATATATTTAAAAATTGTCAAAGATAGCTGTATCCGAAATGAGAAATTTTTTGTATTTTTTATTTTAAAGTGGTCGTTTAACTAACTTCAGGGTCCGTCCGAGCAATAATTTCTTTATTTTTTAATAGTTTACATATTGTTCTTAAAATTGTCGTTCCAAGCGCAGTGTAGGGTTCCGTAGTTGTCAGTCGTTACCATAATATATTTCATAAGCAAGCAATTACTTCATCTAAAGTCACTTTTAATATTTTCTTCTAAGGATTTTTTATTAAGTATGAAATTTTACACGAGTTAAACGACTATTACTCTTGAACTAACTGATCTATCTTAACCGTCATAGTTTTCCTTAAAAGTTCATGAAAAGCACTATAATTATGAATTTTTCCAGATTTTTCAAACCAACACTTTAGTTTTTAGAGGGGGGGACGCCATTTTCGAAAAAAAAATTATCATTTTAAACTTTAATATTTTGCAAACGGATCACTAAATCAAAAAATAGTCTTAGAAACCCCTAAGTCATTTTAAATGACCTATCCAACGATACCACACACGATGGGGTATCAATGATAACAATGAAACTTTTTAATATATATATTTTTTAAATTTCTATATTTAAGTGAAAAAATGTTTTATTATCTTTAATACTAAAAGAAATCAGTCAAAAATAGTTTATTTTAATTTAATGTTGTACTTATAACCAATTTCAAGCAAAAAATATTTTTGGCCGCCTAAATCATTGAAATCTACCTATGTGCGGCGATGGCTTTCTGCACGCGTTGCTGTGGTTGAAGATTAATATTTTTATATCTTTGCACCAACATTGTGTTTTTTTTTCCACACACAGCTTTAGTTGAATCGAAAAACTATTCATTTGAATACTGCATTGGTGAGTTCATTATGCTTTGGCTTTCAGCGACTTCATCATCTTTTCTAGCTTCATGGCCTTCTGCAGGTCTCCGCTGATCTTGAGTTTGCCCATCATGAAGGCGGTCGCTGGCTTCAGTTTACCTGTTAAAATAAAATACATGTAGGTAAGCATTAACGAGAAATAAATAATATTCTTAAAAAAAATTGACAGTCAAAAATTAAGCTTAGAGTAGGCGCACACCGTTGATTTTTAGTTGGCCGATAGTTGTGCCCGATTTTAATTTGTATGAAGAATCGGCCAAATCGAATCGGCGTCGTGTGCGCACTCCCATACATGCCCATACTGATCAACTGCCCGACTAAACTATAGGCCGATGAAAAATCAACGGTGTGCGCATACTCTTAATGTTAAATTCGACCTTACAATCTGTGGAAGACTAGGCCTAATTTGTATCGTACATTGTGAAAATAAGTTGTCGGTTGAACATTCGTCAAAACTAAAGGTATCCGCTTAATAGTGCTTCGTCCATTTGTTATTCAAACATAGGCTTAGTAATCCAGTGATTAAGACGTAACAATTGCACATTTCTGCTTATACGTATGAATAGTGTCGTCTTGCTCGCAATGCCGTTCTCGGCTAAAGGTACAGTTAGCGTCAAATAGTGTGTAATAGAGATGAAACGGATAGTAGTTTGGCCGGATACCGGATATCCGGCCAGCTGCTAGGCCGGATAGCCGGATATCCGGCGGCCGGATAGTTGGCTCATTATCTCGTTGCATGTTCTGTTGAGTTTAGCGCCGCACAGGTGCTTCGAACGCGATCAGTGAGTCTATTAGTAGACTAGACTAGTCACACTTCGAAAACCGTCCGAATAGAATGTTACATTTTGCCACTTGTCTTGGGGGCAGATCAATTCGGGCTATTTCAGTTGCCATCGTGAGTGTGGATTGAATAGCGAAAATTAAATTAGTTTACTTGCTGCGTAATCTGACTGAACTGCATTATGTCATCAGACCATCAGTGAAAAATATCGCCTATTTTATTTGGCAATATTTCGACATTAACAGATATTTACTACCTACTAGCTTTCCGCCCGCGGCTTCGCCCGCGTGGCATTTTGTCTGTCACAGAAAAACTATATCGCGCGCGTCCCTGTTTCAAAAACCGGGATAAAAACTATCCTATGTCCTTTCCCGGGACTCGAACTATGTTCCTGCCAAATTTCATCAAAATCGGTTCAGTGGTTTAGGCGTGAAAGAGAGACAGACAGACAGAGTTACTTACGCATTTATAATATTAGTATAGATTTATGTATTCGTCATTAGAGTGAATAGCCCCGAAAAAGAAACTTGTTTTTTGAAAGTCCTTAATATGGCTTTTTTGTATCTTTTTGGACTTTTTAAATAAAAGCCGTCATTATTATAAGCCATTTTATTTATATTTACCTCAAAGATTAATGTATTTCATTTTATTAATAGGAAATTGTCGTAGTTTTTAATATCCGGTATCCGGCCGGATAGTGAGTTATTATCCGGTATCCGGCCGGATAGTAAATTTAGGCCGGATATTCGGCCTACCGGATAGTTACCGGATATCCGTTTCATCTCTAGTGTGTAACACCCAAAGTAGTCAAAAAGTTTAGTAGTAGCGGACTTATCGGATACTTCGGGTGTCACGAACTATTTGACGCTGACTTTACCAACATGAGCTCCTTTTTTTAACTGACTTCAACACTAGAAGGAGGTTCTCAATTCGGTTGGTGTTTTTAATTTTCTTTGTTTTTTTTTTCTTATTCAGTAGTTAGAATGTATTAAGGACAATACCGGCGAACATCTCTGTGAAGTTCTTGCTGTCCATGGTAAGCGTGGCATCTGGAGCGTTCTTGGGCTCGCCCTGTCCGCATGCGCCTTCGCCATTCTTGAGGTCCAAGTGCCATACGCCTTCCTCCTTGCCTGAAGAATAGAAGAAATATTTTAGTCATATGTATAAATGTGTATTTATTTTATTTTATTTTTTTATGCTAGACAAGGCAGGTATTTGACCGCAATCGCACCTGGTGTTAAGTGAGATGCAGTCTAGGATGGTACATATCTGCCCTGTAAGTGCCTATTCACTCTCGCCTTGAAAACGCCCGGCTTATAGTGTTCAGAAAATACAGAAGCAGGCAGCAAATTCCAGTCCCTAGCTGTTCGCATTATAAAGGAGTCGTCGAAACGCTTAGTGCGAGCTGGTGGAATGTCGACAATGTAGGGATGATACGCTAGCCTGCGTCTGGTTCCCCGGTGATGGAAGGGGGCTGGTGGAATTAGGTCGTATAATTCCTTCGCACATTCTCTGAAGTGTAGCCTGTAGAAAACCGTTATTTACAGCTTTTGTGTGGTTTGTGATGCATTAAAAGAGAGCACTAAATAAATATGCGACCATGAGGCCTAGCGTGGAGAGTCCTGCATTGGTGAAAATTGTTTTCATCCAGTAAGTCAAGGTTTCCCAAACTTTTTTTTATTGTGACGCCAATGGGAATTTGCCATTTTTGCGAAGATTTAAAACGGGGCTCAAGTTTGGTTTACATTCATCTCTACATTTACTTAGGATCGCTTTACATCGGCCTTGGGATAATCCACATTGCACAGTTTGAAGCCCTGTCGTAAGTGAGGTTGTGGTGGACTGCAGTGGACTGTATGCGTTTATGTGTGTTCGAGAGCGCTGACCGGACGATGATGACTGCCGTTGAGAGCTTGCCCTTACTATGTCAGGCGTAGTAGGTGCTACTTGCAGGAATAAAACCACTATTTCACTTGCTGAGACTTCTCGCGTTTATTATTCGCTTCCTTTTCTCAGTTCTTGCTTCTTCAGATCACTTGTTGCTTGGAGCACTTGTTCTCTGAACTGAACTCAACATCACATAACTTTAAATAAACTTGTCTCCCGGAGCGCCTCGCTCCGTATTTATAGGGCCCCGGGCTATATCCATCCCTTTCTCTCCCGATATTCCTGTCTCTGTCTCTCATGTTCTGGACCATAGTTCTGGAATGTTCGAAGCGAGAGGTCCGATATTGCCGTCCTGTTTCTTTTTCTCTCGAATATTCCAGAAGTGTGTGGAAGAGTAATTGATGTGCAAGTGAGATGACAGATAATGTGAGAAAGAGATGGAATGATATTTATCTCTAATCGACTCTAATTGATTATTTTAGTACATTTTCTGATTGTTAACGTTGCTAATCAATTCTAATTAATAAATTAGCGTATTTTCTCGGTTGACGTCGCTAACAGAGGTAATTAGAAATAAGTGTATGTAGAGATTTTGATGGACCGACATCTTAAAGGTAACAGTAAGGTGCTGGACGCAGGCCGTTACCATGGAAAGCATTGGGGGAAGCCTATGTTCAACAGTGGACGTTTTATGGCTGAGATGATGATGATGATGATGATAGAGATTTGTATGCTTACCTTTAACGTTAAACTGGTACACAGCTTGCGTCTTCTGCACGAGCTCAGCCGACAATGTCTTGCTGATGGAAGCAAACAGCTGCGGGATTTGCCCGCTAGCTGCTGGCGCGTCAGTCTAAAGTAGGTTATAAGATGTTGTGTTAGAACACATTTTTGATACGTAATTTAGTAAAAGAGAAAGACAAGGTATTTTTGAATAGGCACTTAAAATTGTCAAATAAAAAAACTAGCAATAATTGTTGAAAATATATGTTTTTTTTTACAGAAAATACTGAATTAATTGTTGAAGAAAGTGCTTTCGGATGCTTATTGTTCGAACCTTAAACCAAACAAATATGAACAAAAGCCTTATAAGTATCTTGCAATTCACAACATGCGAGCAAACATAAAATAAGCAGAACAGTGACAAATAGCAAGCAAATAAACAAGAACATATGAAAGTTATATTGATATAGATAGATAGATGAAATACGAACATAATATTTTATGTGAAAACTGTTTTGATAAAGATGAAATACGTAAGCTCTTTTACCAAAAAAATACCAGCGTGTTGAATGATACCTCAATACTTAAAATTAGTCTTCAATGTGCGTGTAACTTTTTAGTAAAGGGACAAAGTATTTACAATGCTTCGTCTTCATTATATTTCGTGAATTTTAACAAACAACGAAATATTTGTTGTATTAATTTTGTTCTTTTACCACAATCTTCAGCGTCATATAGTATGTTGTTACGTATATAAAAGAAAAAACATTTACCCAGAATTCGTGTTCATACATACAAAACAAGCAGATCTTTTTTAGTGCACCTTTTTGGGTACTAGTTTCGGTTGCCCAGGCGCGTCCAAAAAGAAGTCAAGTAAAAGTTCCTCTTTATTACCTGTGGACAAACGAATATCCAATTCAATTTCATTTTATTAGTCTAATTAATTTAGTTTCTAACTGTAATTAATATAAGGCACAAAATATTACACATATAAACGATTAATGTCAAATTCAAAATTGTTGCTAAAAGATTAAACGGAGCAAAACCGATTGTAAAATGTTTCCAATTTCATACACTTCAACAGTCCACGAACCAAAACCCTAGTGTGGACCCATTGTTTTTGATTATGTGTTGGGAAAAGATAATTCTAAAGCGACGGGTCCTTATAAAAGCTACCATAGAAATGACAACTTATAAAAATATACGTAATTTTAACGGCCCTCGTAAGTAAAAAATAAATACAGCTCAATTCCCCGAATTCCAAGTTTGGTACAAACACCAATTCTGAGTTATTGTTTGTGGCAAATATATTGACAGTGATGGCAGCGATTAAGCGAACTAAGTATTGGTTACGTTCACTCACACACACACTACCGTATTTGCGCTCACCAGTTAGCGTCACAGGCAAGAAACTTTCTGTCAAGACTAGTGGCACCATCTACCGTTTATCACTCTCCGGGATTATTTGACCTTCACTAGTTGGGTTCCATTGGAGGCCAAACTGTAGAACTTGCGGGGTTCTTCGAAAAACGAGATCCCAGCATGCTATTTATACAGGTTAGTGGGAAAGAGACGTGAGAATAGTTCCATTTAACGTCATCTACTAGTGAGTGCAAATACGGTAGTTTTCGTTTTATGGCTGATTTTTCAATCGGATAACTTTAAACTGAAGAATAAGTTTGACATATTGACAGTTTCATGTCAAAATGACAAGTTTATTTTTCAGATAAAAGATATCTGACGAATGAAAAATCAGCCCTCAGATGTTGATGTAGACAAAGATATGAATAAGTGGCGCCATCTATCGAATGAAAAGGTGTTGATATAGAGGAACAAAATGAGATGCGTCTTTACTCGACTATGTACATAGTTACACAAGTGTATAGAGGAGCTAATGGAGATGCGTCACTACTGGTCAACGAACCTTTTCCTCCTTGCAAAGCCTGGCGGAGGTATGGTACCGCCGGACCGACTGGGCCTGCAGGGTAACGTTGTGGTGGGCGGCCAGCGCTTGCGGGTCGTCAAGGAAACCGTCCAATAGCAGGTTATCTGCGTTCTCTGGGGCCAAAGTGGACCACGTCACAATTTTTGCTCACTCACATGTGCATTCATACAAATGTTTGAAGATTTAATGTTTTGTACAGCCTGATCGACTTAACTGCACACCTGGCAAATTTATTGAGGGCCCTGGCGATTGGTAGCATAGCTGAGTACTATCAACTATCGTTTTTTAAATTGGTAACCCAAAAAATGATTTTTTTTGGGTAGTTTCAGTTTAAATCTTTGTAAAAAAAAATAGTTTTTTTTCTTGGCCCTTGTTTTCTTGGTATTTTGCTAGATTGCCACCCTGTAGTTATGCCACTGGCTGTGACGTCACATTGACGCTCTGGTACGGACGGGGCGAACGCGGGGAGGTATGTGGGTATGTGAGGGAGAGTCGCATTCCAGCGAAGTGCGCAGTTAGCTCGATCGGATTCTAATTATAGAAGCTTTAAATATGGAAATTCAACCAATCAAAAGTCATCATTGATTTATTGTATCGATATTCGAGCTTCGATTTCCAATTATATGGATCTCAATTTAAAAAAAAAAACCTATAATATTTGAGATAGTTAAAAAAATCAAGCCCAGGCAGAAACGTAAAGTTGCAATATTCTGAATCATTTTACAAATAATATGAGAACAGATGTATGGCACACGTGAGTGAGAGTGCTTAATAAAGGATTATGCTAACTAGTAGGATTGGGAACAATTCTTATTCTAGTCTAGGTTTAGAACGAAAAAGTACCTAGTGTTAAAACATTAGTTATCTATTGTAAGGTTTTTTTAGATAAATAAATATAACTTACTGGGATCACAGGCATACGGGGTCATGTCTTTGACTCCTGCTTCCTTTACGACGTCCTCGTCGATGGCAAATACTCCAGTGTATGTTTTAGGATCCCTGAACAATGATATTATGGTAAAAATGTAAAAAAAATAATTAAAATTCTTTGCTAAGATGTAGAAGTCTAGGGAAGGCCCTTTAGCGCACTTGTATACGTCACAAGTATAATAATGAAATCAGACAGGGATAAGGTCTAAGGCCTCAGCCTCGAGTTTAGCGGGCAGCGGGGCGGGAGCGGCGGCGGCGCGGGAGCGGCAGGATCTTATGCGTAAAATCAAATAGACCGGTTCTCGAAAACAGCGGCGCGGGAGCGGGCAACGAGCGGGCAGCGCACTCCTTCTTTTGCCCACAATAAATCGAGCGTTAGGAATAAATTTGAATCGAAATAAAATTGTCGCCGCGTTGTTCAGACATTTCGTTTGCGAATAAAAACAAATATCTCGACAACACAACCCTGAACACAACATTTCGCCGCTAAAGCGCCGCGTGAGTTGCCCGCTTNTTCGTTTGCGAATAAAAACAAATATCTCGACAACACAACCCTGAACACAACATTTCGCCGCTAAAGCGCCGCGTGAGTTGCCCGCTTGTTTCGAGAACGGGTCTGCGTTGCCCGCCCCGCTCCCGCGCCGCCGCCGCTCCCGCCCCGCTGCCCGCTAAACTCGAGGCTGAGGGGCCTTACGCATAACAGGAGCCAGTGTCTGAAGTATATGGGGGCGGCACGGGAGGGTATTTGTGACATCAAACGTCAGCGAGACTCCATCCCCTAGACAAGTTGCACTTTTTGATCGAATTCGTCAAAACTCGATAGAAAAATAAAGGGCTTTCGAGTTTCGACTACTTTTCGACTGGTTTGCGATTATAATGTGCACTTTGTCTAGCTAGACCCACTGATTTGCTTCAGAGTTGTATACTCTGTCACGTCATATGTCATTTCTCAGGCACTGATAAGCCTTAGACCTGTAAAAAGGCACGTTGGCCTTATGCTTGGTGAAGAGTGCAACTAATTGACTATCATAAATTGATCTTTAATTCAATGGCATAAGTTCTAAAACTCACTTGCACAGCATGAAATAGGCCGCGTCTGAGACGATCTCGGGCTTGCGGCTGGTCGAAGTGTCGCCGGTCAGCATCTCAATAGCAGCTGTCGCGATGGCTATGGAAAATAAGTTGTATGAGCCTTAAGGATGATAAACATTGCCACCTGATATCCCATAACACATAAAATTGGAAAATAAATTAAGACCGTTTAGTAATAAACTTCAAGATTATTTGATCTCAAACTGCTTCTACTCACTTGATGAATTTTTTAGTTATCGCGACAATAATAATCTTTGAGATAGATCTGGATGACGTCTGTAATTTACAAATCACATATACCTCTGGGAGGTAGCAATGTAACATTTTTTTAACATCTGTCTTTAATATTTGTACATTGTGAAGTGAATAAAATGAATATAAATATGAATATGAATATATCATCATCTCAGCCATAGGACGTCCACTGCTGAACATAGGCCTTCCCCAATGGTTTCCATGTTGCCCGGTTGGTAGCGGCCTGCGTCCAGCGCCTTCCTAGCTTGCTACCTTTAGGGATAGGGATGGGATAGATAGGGAATGGAAAAGAGACTCCATTGCGTGAATAAATGAAACAAAACAGTGCAATCTCTCAGTAAAATGCCACGTCAACTTTACTAGTAAAGATAGACTAGCAATAAAACTTGCAGAAGTTGACTTCTGTAAGCTGTCACCATTGTGTATATCTTGCAGAAGTGGACTTCCGCAAGCTGTCACCACTGTGTCAATCTTGCAGAAGTTGGCTTGCCATAGCTATTTATACAGTGGTAAACAAATTGCAGAAGTAAACTTCTGCAAGTTTCATTGCTAGTCTAAACCTCTTTTAAACCTTTGTTTGTCACCTGTCATCCGTTTTGCAATGGTCCCTCCATTCGAACCTTAATTTCGAACTCCTATGTTCTTCTGATTAATTTCGTTGCGGGTCCAATGACAGTTTAACTTTCCCCCGGGACAAACTTGACCTTCATTGGTTGCCCATGGGTTTTTGTAGCGGTCAAGCTGTAGATCCTGGCTACACAGGAGTTGCAGTGGTGGGAACGAGAGGTGGGAATAGTCCCGTAGTCTAAACCTCGCATTAGACTTACCAGTCTTAGGCCAGAGCGCGTTGACGCCGATGTTGTAGGGCTTGAACTCCTCGCTCATGCCGAGCACACACATCGACATGCCGTACTTCGCCATCGTATACGCCACGTGGACTGAGAACCTAAAGACGAAGAAAACGAAAAGTAAGCAACGAAGGAATGTAAAGACTATTAGGATAATCTGAGAACAATAACATATACCTAGCCTAGGCGCAGACCACCGATTTTTAGTGTGCCGATCGTTGGACCCGCTTCTAATTTGTATGAAGAATCGGCCGATACCAAATCGGTGTAATGTGCGCACTTTCATACATGTCCATTGTCCATGTCTGATTAACAGAACGACCCGACTATCGGCCAACTTTAAGTCTGTGGTTTGCGCTTAGGCTTAAATTACTAAATAAATACTCTTTTGAGCCGAACGGTGACGTTTCGTTTCACAAGCATACTATTTATCTTACCATGAGGGGTTAACGGGATTATTAGTGATTTGTATTTACGATTTTATTATTTATACGATTCTTCATTTCATTTGTATTATTTGTCGTTTAAAACAGCAAAAGAAATACATAATTATAATAAACTAGCTGACCCGGCGAACTTTGTTCCGCCTTATAGCAATAAATAAACAGACTTTTTTTTATTTCGAACGGGATAAAAAGTAGAGATGAAACGGATAGTTGTTTGGCCGGATACCGGATACCGGATATCCGGCGAGCTGCTTGGCCGGATAGCCGGATATCCGGCGGCCGGATAGTTGACCCATTGTCTTGTTGCATGTCGTGACGAGTTTAGCGCCGCACAGGTGCTTCGAACGCGATCAGTGGGTCTAGTAGACTAGATAAGTCACACTTTTCGAAAATCGAATTCGTCCGAATAGCGAATGTCAGATTTTGCCACTCGTCTATAGGGCAGATCAATTCGGGCGATTTCGGTTGCCATCGTGAGTGTGTGATTGAATAGCGAAAATTAAATTAGTTTACTTACTGCGTAATCTGACTGAACTGCATCATGTCATCAAACCATCAGTGAAAAAAGATCTCCTAATTTATTTGGCGATATTTCGACATGAAAAAGAAATTAGTTTTTTTAGGCCTTAATATGGCTTTTTTGTAACTTTTTGGACTTTAAAAACCGGCCAAGTGCGTGTCGGACTCACGCACAAAGGGTTCCGTACTATTGATTTATGAAATTATTTTTTTTTAATTTAAGTTATTTGTATGAAAGATTACCCGGTAATAAGCGGTTTACGATTTATGAGGTATTAAAAAAAATACTTAATAGATCTCGTTCAAAACAATTTTCGTTGGTAGTTTTTATAGTAATGTACAAACATCATATGTTTTTTTTAGATTTTTCATTTTCTTATTTTAGAAGTTAGTGGGGGGGGACCAACTTTTTTCCACTTTGGAAACGTCTGTCACGCAAACTATTCGGTTTAGAAAAAAATAAATTACACATGGTGTTTGATGAAAAAAAATTTTTGAGTTCTAAGTTGTTGTTGTTGTTGTTGTTTCAGCCAAATGACGTCCACGCAATGAGTTCTAAGTATGGGGAGATAATATTGGGATATTTTTATTTTATTTTTGCATCAAAATCTTAATGCGGTTCACAGCATACATCTACCTACCAAGTTTCAACAGATAGCTCTTATAGTTTCGGAAAAAAATGGCTGTGACATACGGACTGACAGACAGACAGACATGACGAAACTATAAGGGTTCCGTTCTTTGCCATTTGGCTACGGAACCCTAATAAAAACCGCCATTATTATAAGCCATTTTATTGATATTGAACTCAAAGATTAATGTATTTCATTTTATTATAGAAAATTTTCGTAGTTTTTTACTATCCGGTATCCGGCCGGATAGTGAGCTACTATCCGGTATCCGGCCGGATAGTAAATTTAGGCCGGATATCCGGCCTACCGGATAGTTGCCGGATATCCGTTTCATCTCTAATAAAAAGTATCCTATGTCCTTTTCCTGGCTCTAAACTACCTCCCTATCAATTTTTAGCTAAATCGGTTCAGCCGTTCTTGAGTTATAAGTGGAGTAACTAACACGACTTTCTTTTATATATACAGGGTGTCCCAAAACACCCTGGCAACAGAGTTCAAGTGGAGGCTACGTAACGAAAAGCGCATTGTAGGACGTCCACCTACAAAGTGGACCGACGACCTCATAAAGGTAAGCAGGAAGGTGCTGGATGCAGGCCGCTACCAAGCGGTCATTATGAAAATCATTGGGGTACAGGCCTATGTTCAGCAGTGGACGTCCTATGGCTGAAATGATGATGATGATGATGATAAAATGTTGCTTTATTTAAATTCCTACGCCAAAAATTATCCATTTGTATTTAATGCCACTATGCAGTCCTAGTTTAACTATTACGAGAAAAACTCATTTTTGCAGTTTTCATACTAGTTGCTATTCAAGTAGCCTTAAGATAAAAATAATACAGAATACATAGGTTTGTGATACTTTTTTAGAATTTCAATTAACCAAGAAAGTTTTTAAAGTAATGGGCACGATGGTCTTCCTACATTTTTTTTACACGATGGCTGATCAAAAGTGCAAGACAATGAATTAATTTTTCCTTCTTCTCTGCAATTTCTTAAAATTTTCTTACTTTTAAACTAGTTTGTGGAACTTTAATCTTTTCTTTTGATAGCCCAACTATCCCTTGTGATAAGGAAAAAAACTAGATTGAAAAGTATCCTCATTTGTAGAAATGGCATGAGAAAAAGTAATCGCAGGTGGCAATTTTCTAAAAATGCACAAAAACTTAAAAATCTTGAAAACGGTGATATTTTTACTGGAGTCAAAATTGGACGTTAGGTAGACCATGGCGAGGCCTATCGAGGGTTACAGGGTTATCCATTGTTTTTGGGACACCCTGTATAGATGCTGTTTGCTTGGAGGAGGCCTTTGTCCAGCAGTGGACGTCATTTGGCTGAAACGAACGAACGAATGAACGTATAAATGCTGCAAAGATTTGATTCGATTCGGGTCCAAGTAGCACTGTGCGGTATAGAAAACAGATTCAGTCAACAACAAACAAAAACATTGTTTTTAAATATAAATTCCTTGACCTTTTGCTATTATTATATTATAACGTTAAAAATTATTATGCAGGTAGGTACTTACTGACAAGCATTGGGGTCAAAGTTACAAATGTTTTTCAACCAAAGCCGTGAAGGTAATATTTTATGTTATTCTTAAGATTAAGAATTCACTTAAGATTGTTATAACAGCCTTATAAAACCACTTGCGTCACATAAGTTCGATAAGGTTTTGTTCCCCAGTTGACGAAGCACATGATGTACCATAAAACTGCACGCAGGAAGATTTAATGAAGGCTACTGACGACGCCGCTCTTGTGGCGAAGTTTTGGGCTGACACTGTGTAGGTTTATTGTCGCCACGACAAGAAAAAGATCACAGTAGTACACATTAATACAAATTAAGCGCTTGTTGCCTTTTTTCACGTGATCTAAAAAAAACTAGCTACGCTCTTGTGTTGTATTGATTGTTTACGAATAATTTGATTACTCTTGTACTTTGAACAGTGACTTTTTGGTAGATGACATCACCTTGGTAATCGAAGTTCAAACATAGGTACTTTATCGTAACATTATTTATACCAATTCCTAATAATTTTGAATGGCAATTTAATCTTATTATTTACGATGTAGCTTATTGAATAGATAATCTTTTTAAGGCGCCGTTTACCTCAAATAGGGGACTTTGAAATCAGATAGATATAATCTATAGATGGATCAGTGAAATCTACAGTTTTATTATAGGAAAGTTTGTAAGGACAGGTGTATGGAATTGTTGTTATGTTACTCTTTATCGCAAAAAGTGCAGATAAAGGCAGAACAAGCTTAACACTGTGGCATCTTATCTAATTGTAATAGAAGCCATTTTTCAACAAAAATGTGTAGTCTCATATGCTGTTGACGCGACGGTAAAAGAATAACAGACCATTGAAAAATATTATGAATATTAAGTCAAAGGTTGAAAAAGATACCTAGTTCAAAGTAACTTCCAAGGTTGAACAGCAGTAGGTACAATTAGGTAAACATTTAAAACAATACTATGTAGTCACAACATACCTTGTTACCCAAACAAAATAGTGACAAAATTCGTCAAATAATTGCATTGTATTGTTGTTTGTAAGGGTTGTCATGCTAACACGAAAAATATTTACGTCAAGTTGAGCTCTCGCATAATATAATAACTTAAATATCTAAGCAAGGACTTCTAAGCAGTACCTACTACAAGACATGCTATTAAGAAAAAAAAAACGTGACAGTAAGTTTCAAAATTCAAGCAAAACACGTAACAAAGTGCGTTACGCGTGCTTTGAATAATGGCAACATTAACTTGATCGTAATTTTAATAAATGACATGAGCGTATTTTTTTTATTCATCCTTCGGGACTCGCGGCGCATTTGACTTTATTTGCATGTTAACTGAAATAACTGACATTAGAAAAAGAGGCGCAGTTCCATTTCAATTTATCAAAAGTGCAGACTGTCTCAGCTTCTTTGCCACTTTGGATGTCACAAACTACACTCGACATCAAATAAATCGCACCTCCCGCGACAAGCATTTTCAATCGTATGCATCCCCACTTCCCACCAATATTGGCACCATTTAAAAGCCTAGTTCTAACCTTCATTTCATTAAAGGAAAGGTTTTTACCCCAAAAATGTGTCTTTAGAAGGATCCAGAGTCACTTCTTCAAAAAATAGGTAGTTACGCTAGTGCCAACTTTTATGGCTATAAAACTGTTAAGTTGGGATTAATCGCTATCCATCTGTTAAAGAGGACACGTGAGATCATTATTTGGTTTTATAACCATAAAAATTGGTCTAATTGATCCCATAGGTGGGGCCAAAGTGAGGTATTTTTTCAAGTCACATTTATGGTATATGTTAATCATTTATTACGAAATTAAATGTGTTTTTCTTTAAGGATATTTATTGGGCTTTCAAATAACACTAATATTGTTGGGGCACCATGATTATGTCAGAAGAAAATCGTTAAAGTTCGCGTCGCGGAAGGTGCGGTTTATTTGATGTTGAGTATATTTGATGTTGACTGTCTTTGGGTGTCATGAACTATTTGACGCTGACTGTACGTGTACATATGAGTAGATAAGTATTCTACTATTCTGGCTGAAAACCAGGCGCTGTCTAGGGCAGGTAGTCCTTGGCGGCACATGCTGAGCCACCTCCATTTACTTTTTCTTTTAGCTTTATAATGTAATTTAGTTTCTTGTAATTCCTTTTATGTGTAAAAAGCAATAAACGTTTTTTTATTTATTATTTTATTCTTCTACTCACCAATACGGGTTCATGTTGAGGGGTGGAGATAAGTTGAGGATGTGTGCGTGGTTGCTTGACTTCAGCAATGGCAGGCATAGCTTGGATCTGTAAGGGATAACAAGGTTGTAGCAGTTTGTGTGTCTGAGACTGAGAACCCATAATATTATAATCTAAACTAGCGGCCGCCCGCGACTTCGTACGCGTGGATCCCTTTTTACCACCTTTTCCTGAATTTTCTTTGCTATAAACCTCACGGAGCCCGAGACCTTTCCAACGAATGCAAAACCGTGGAAATCGGTTCGTGCGTTCTGGAGTTATAGCGTCAGGGAGGAAAACCCGACTTATTTTTATATAGTAGATTAAATTCCTAAAATTTTGTCTAAATAATGAAATAATGGAATAGTTTATCAATGTACAAGACTGCACATAGAGAAACCTTAGTTTTTGTTAAAGGTGTTCTTTTGCAACCCAAATGTGTAGTTTAGTTAATTAGTAACTGATTATTATGCAATATTTAAAAAAACTAAATATTTTATTTACATGTTGATGTTTTCTGCTGATGTTTCCAGCTGAACTCAGGTAGTAAAACACAATTTAAATTTATTTTTACTACTGATTAGAGATTTTTAGGCTAGGTTGCACCATCTTACTTTAACAAACGTCAAAAGTCTGTCTAACTCCATACAAAAAACACCGGTTATGGTTATAATCACGGTTAAAATAAGATGGTGCAACTCTGCCTCAGATATACAAATACATATACTCACACTAGGAAAGTTCCCCTAGTGTTGATGTTGTGCATGAGGTCGTATCTCTTCATGTCCGTCTGGGCGGTGCCCGTGAGAGAGATGGCCGACGCATTGTTCACTAATATGTCGATTCCATTGAACTAGAAATTGATTGTAAATTAGTTAATTCATCCAGTACAACTTCAAATAAGCACACTAAAGGAAGTACACACACTTAACACCAGGTGCGATCGCAGTCATATACGTGCCTTGTATAAAAAAAACATAATTCAATACTTTAAATTAGTGAAACAACAGCTAAAGGTATAACTATTTACAATAATATCAATATGTCATGTATATTGATAGTCATGTTGTTTAACCATTTTCATTTCAAACAATGTTATTCTTTGTATCTTTGTGCTGATAAAATTAATAATGAATGTTAAACTGTCTCAATTATGAATGAATCTATGTAGATGGATTAAAAACAGTCCTTTACTTTCATTTAACATGCCATTTACGCTAATCTGTACGCCACTCATAGGCCAAACATAGAGCTTTATGTTTTTACAAATAAATGATTTGATTTGATTTAAGTTACCTTTTTAACAGCCTCATCGACTGCTTTCTGTACTTGTTTTTCATCTCTTACATCTACAATAACCGGCAGTGCTTTACCGCCAAGAGCTTCAACTGAAAAAATATTTATTAAAAGATAAGTGTCATTTTAAAATAGGCAGAACTAGATTGATTCAATTTTTGATCAAGATGACCAACCAATTAACCATTGTTAAAACTGTAACTTTCTCCACATTTTCGGAAACAGTATGCACTCATAATAATGATTAATTTAAAAAGCATTTTAGAAAGGCCCTTGTTTACTAAAATCCCTAAAACCTACTCAAGAAACATAAAAAATATTATCTGTATTTCTTATGTTGTATCTTTGCCAGCAGTCAACGTATATTTTCGCGATATCGTGACAGGTATACACTATGTTTGGCATCAAGTTCAAAGTCCAAGGTATTGATACTATTTCATATCTTTCAATTATTACAAAACCCTGACTGAATTCTACAGGATTATTGAAGTATTTAGATAAAAAAAGAGTACTCACTTTCTTCAGCAGCGGAATAAATGGTTCCAGGCAGTTTAGGATGGGGTTCGGCAGTTTTAGCTGCGACCACAACATTTGCTCCATCCTTGGCTGCTTTTAGGGCTATCGCTTTCCCAATACCACGAGAAGCACCAGTAATAAACAGCGTACGACCCGCTAGCTTTCTGTTTAGGAAACCAATTTATTTAGATAGTTATCAAGTTTCAAAATAGGGAGACATCTCACAAGCTAAACTTACCCAGTATTCGCGACTAAACTCATTTTTTATCGACTTGACGACAACACTATAATAATTTATATCAACGGCCGACTTCCTTGATCGCTCTCGCGAGTTTGGAGTTTGGAACTTTGGACTAAAATTGCGGCCGATGTAAATTAAAATGAAATACGTACAAGATACGAAACGATACAACAATGATGACAGATTTGACACTGACAGATATAGCTGACAGTGGCGTATGACGTGTACTACGCCACAGATAACATAACTGTTATAAAAAGTTATCGGTTCACGTCACGAGGACTATTATAATATAATAGTCTATTTGTTATGATTATTACATCTAATATATATTATGTATATTGAGAACACTTAAAATTTATTAATATTTTCTTTCTCAGATTCATTGTCTTTCTAGTTTACTAAAGAGCATAACGAAACGTTGCGGAAAAGTTCATTGACCGATTTTATAGGTCAATGGCACTCAACTTGTCAAACGGTCATTCGGCGTCTTGGCGGGAAATTGAATCTTGTTTAGTTTTGTCAGTTTTGTTTTTGTTTTTTAATATCTAATAAATATTTTAATCGAAAATATAAAAATATAAATGTATTGTTGTAGGTTTTATTACCCCTTAGGCCATGAGTTTTGTCTTTATTATTGTGACGAAGATCTTCTACCTCGGTCTTCTGCTTAAAAAATCTTGACTAGACGCAGGTAGGTAATCATAAACTTCAAGTTTCTTATGAAGTGTGTCCACTATATTTATTTAGGTAGGTAGTTGGAGAAAAATATTTTATTGTAAGTAAGCTATTTTTGTCGTGAAAATAAAAATACGGAAATAAATAAAAATGAAAGTTGGGGAATGCTTTGCTACGTAATAAAACATCTGAAACGATTTGAAATACATTTATTTTGTGCATCACTTCATACTCCCAATCTCTCTCACTCTAAACTCTAATATACAACACCGGATAGGGTGAATGATACATAACATTCTAAAATAAAACTATGTTTTATTATTTATTCATAAGACATTTAGTTAGGCTTCGTAACAATAATTGCGTTTCTCTTTAATTATGGCTCGAATATTTAATACACCTTTCATTTATAATATTTTATAAATTTCTTAATCTCCATTCTAATTACACTTCTGTATCCAACTACGTACAAATGTACAATCGCAAAAACAAAAATTATAATACACTAGNGATTTATTATAAGTATAGATAGATTACTATTTGTAACTATTATTTCATTTGAGTATTCTAGAATAGTACTTGATTTGATCCATTCTCACTCATTCTATTAAAGGGAATAGAGAATAGATAGACTACAATAAATAAAATATAAGTAGAATTACTTGAAAGAGATCTATAGGTGATTAATTTAATAACATTCCTAATTGAGACATGACAAAACTTTACGCATCAGGGTTCTGTTTCTAACAGCTTTGGTTCAAATTTAATGTAGGTACAAACATCGCATTACATTCGAAAATAATTATTATTTAGTTCATTGACGATCGATGTGTTATATAAAATTTGTTTAATTTATTTAGACATAATATTGTGTTCAGGAGATGTGTCTCCTGAACACAATATTATGTCAAAAATAAACGTTAAATGTGTGCATATAACGTTTATTTTTGTTGTAAGTAGGTAGTTTCATTTTCATATTAATATTATAATATTTAGTTTTGTTAAAATAGATCAATGTAAATTGCTAAAAGCATTGTTAGATTACAAAATAAATATGCATTTTCTGGTTTGGTAACCCTGTTTTCCTCAGAGATATGATTTTTATGGCTTTCAAAATAATCAGGCACTTCGTTTAACGTTGTTACAATGATATTGTGACGGAATAATCTTACAAAATATACGTATTTGAGCTTTAGAAAACATTTTCAAAATTTTAAAGTACAGTTTTCTTACTCTATCATAAATAAATTGACCAAATAACTTTACATTTTGACCTACGATGATGAATAATGTTGTGGGACATGGACAAACTAAACCAAACATAAATAACATGAGGGTAGGTATAGTTTGGGTATTATAATTACAATAGTTAAGCATGTACGACAAGAATTAGAAATACTATTTAGACAGAGAAAGCTAGGTTTAACAAGGTTCGCATTCCTCACAGAGACCTTATTACGTTCTTAGGGATAGAGTTAGGCTTAATTTAATTATAATCCGGTCGTTAATTTAGTAACCTAAAGTTTAATTAAAAACATGACTTTAAAACCCAAAATTGTAGAGTTGTCGTTTTCAATTTCTCTGTGAGAAGTGCGCACATTTCTAACGCAGACAACACATTCGATATGATCCAAGTATTGACCATTTTAACTAGCATTCAGAAATGCTTGTATTCACATTGACGTTACAATTGAGTAGGGTATCAATATTTTTCATAAATTGGGCGCCATCATTTAGCTTGGGTACCCGATTCTGGAAGATTCTGTAACTTTTAAACTTTAGCGAAAATAGTAAATTATAATAGAGCACAGGAGTTTACTAGCTCTACATTTTTGCTAGTCAAGCAAGTGGACACGACGAGTAGCAAATTTATAGAGCCCTCTATTTTAATTATTGTTTAGCCTCTTAGCAAAGGGATATAAAAATAATCTGTTTCTCCAACGCCAATGTGAATCAAGTTACATAAAGTATCAAGCGATATATTTTACAGTGGAAAGCACCATAAATCTGTATATTCTTCTATAATTACTCACAACTTTGTCTTAACTATTTAAAGCATCAACATAATAAGGATTGGCACCAAAATAATACATTCTAAGTGGCTATGACGAATTAAAATCATAGGTTTAAATTACGGATTAAAAAACAATGGATTAAATTGCAGCAATTTTAGTTTTCTTAATCTAGTCTTATACAATAAAAAATCAACTGGTTTTTGGGCGCTGCTTTCCTAATATTAACACTCCAGCTATGATCTATTTCAAAACAAATTCTCATTATTAAAAGATTTATTAATATTACCTAGTAGTTTCAATTAACTAACACTCCTCTTGGGACACCTAGTTGATCACTTTTAACTAAAATAAGTTTAGTAATAATGTAGTTAGAAGACATCGTAGTCGACTGCATGTTAGTAAAATCCACGAGACAGACCCAACGGCTCTCATTCATTTAACCATTTTCATGCGTGAAAAATTCTATTCATTACAATTTTTATCTTTAACCTAGTGACTGACAGTTATTGATTCATCGTGTTTGTAGGTTTAAGATTCATATTTATATTGAACTGTGCTAAGCTGTCGATCAAAATCGAAAGTCTTTAAAGTAGGTGCTCATTAGGTTTCTATTGACTTCAAATATTACACAGAGACATTAGCTATGCTTCAAACTGTAATCACATATATCAGTGGGCTTTAGTCTCATGGAAGAAACAACTATAGTTTGGGAGAATCGGGATGAAACACGACAAGTCGCTGTCATTTTAAGTTCGTGCTCAATCCATTCGACTCTTAATTCTACTTACTCTTTTTCTTTGCCAAACTACAATACCCTATTTCAAAACAGATCCTAACTCGAGTTTACAAACCTACCCAGATCAAATGTACGCCGGTTGCTTGGCAGAATGCTGCAACGCGGCTAGCACGTCGTGTTTGAGTCTAACGTACAATCTGCCTTTTCTCCATGGGTTTTGGAGCTGTAATGGCCTAAAATCGTCTCGCAGACACCTTTCCCGCGCTCCTATGACGGCCACCAAGCAGAAGTCCTGCAACTTCTCGGGACCGTAAACAGGACCGGACTTTCCTTTGAGGACGGCAGCCATGTTGAGTTGCTTGACGACGAGGTCGATGACCTCGCGGGCGGAGGTGCGCGGCGTGACGTGTAGTTTGAGCGATGTGCCAGCAGCAAGACCCGTTTCGTATGCGGCAAATACCTAGATGAAAAGATACAGAACTTTCAGTACCTAATAACCACAAACCCCCCAACTAATACCTATTGTTATAAGAAGTGGTTGAGGTAAGAGGTGTTTTATTTTGTGTTTATTACACCGATCTTGTCGCGACAAGGAAAAATTTCCGTGCTTTTAAGCGATTTTGTGAAAAATATTATTGGCAGGTAGTTGCTAATTGCTCATAAGATAGGCCCCCTTAATTTAATTTATTGTCCGTGGTGCATAATCTTTTTCTTAAAGGTTTTAAACCTTTGTTTGTCACCTGTCATCCGCTTTGCAATGGAGGGAAGTCGAACCTTAATTTCGAACTCCTCCTATGTTCTTCTGATTAATTTCGTTGCGGGTCCAATGACAGTTTAACTTTCCCCCGGGACAAACTTGACCTTCATTGGTTGGGTTTTTGTGGCGGTCAAGCTGTAGATCCTGGCTACACAGGAGTTGCAGTGGTGGGAACGAGAGGTGGGAATAGTCCCGTAAGAGGTGTTTTAAATAAGCCTTTACCTGTAATATTCCCGGCTGGTCCGGAGGCCGCTGATCTGCCGCCTTCGAATCGCGTTCCTCACTATCACTTCTTTCATCAGTCTTTGGAATCTTATTGTTATACTCTGCGTCTTCCTGAGTCTCCAGCAGAGGCTGTCTCTTCACACACATGCTAGCCTTCGGGAACAGATCCTGCCCCGTGTCTGTGTAGTCAACATCAGCCGACTTCACGTTAGTCATGCTCTTGGAAGTGATCACGGTGTTGGTAGCTCTGAAGTGCTTCCCCTGCGGACGGAGTTTCAAAGGAACTGACGTTGAGGTGATTGGACAGCTCTGGCTCTCCGAGTCACTAGACAGACTCTGGGCGGATTCAGACACATTCCCCTTGGACGTTCGCACACTGATCATGCTCCCAGGATAAAACCCTTTCACGGTCAGCAATGGACTCGAGGTATTCGATACGCTCGTTGCATTGATGCTATGCGGACGAGGTTTCTGTTCCACGTTCTCATTCTGAAGAACAAGTGTGTCTTCGCTTCGGGACGGGGGGAGACGGTTGCTGCCAGCACTCGTGTGAGATCCGGGCGACTTTATTTCAAACTGAGAGTTACTGCTCATGTAATTGTTGCTCATAGCACTCGATTGTGTGAACTGGGAATCGGCACTACCCTTCCTCGAGTATTTATTCTCGGCGCTCAGGTATTGCGAACTGCTCAAATTGAGCGTTGACACAGATGTCTGACGGGGAGCTAAACTCAATTGCTGCTCAGATTTACTAAACTCTGGATGTAAGTTGGCATGGTTTCCGTTTCCAGCAGGACCTGGCCAAGAACCTCGACCTGGTGAGGTTTTGGTAATCTTACCATCTCTTGCAGTATTCGGTATCTGAAGAAAATCTACTTTCAAATTTGCATCTTTGTCGGTCACTTCTAACTCCGGGCCGTCAGGACAGATCTGAGAAGGAGTTTTGTCTAAGATATGTTTGAGCAGTATACCTGAGCTCGGAGAAGTTTTGTCTTTGTCTCTCGCAAAGCCTATGAGATCCATGAGCCACCGTTCCGCCTTCCATACGGTATTCAAGCTGTTTTGCAAGTCTTCTAGTTTTGTTAATCGTTCTTTAGCAGTCTGGAGCTCGGTGCAGGAGAAAGCTTCCCTGTGAGAATGCGTGGCGAGAGCTACATCCAGTTCCAACACGCAGCTGAGTTTGGAGTACTTGCTGAGAATATTACTGTGATAGGTTTGTAGGTGGATCATTTCGAACGCTTGTATGGGGAGGCTGAGGAGGTCTCCTTTTTGGAGGAGTATTTCTTTCTGTCCGGGGACGGAGCAGGCCTGTTCCGCGGGAGGGCAGATCATGATGAAGCTGACGTCATTGTTGAGTTCAATGACCTCGAGGTCATATATTCGGTGGGCGTCGACGCTTTCCATCGGGATCTCCATCTCCTTGAAGAGGCGGCGCGCGGCGCACGCGATGTGGTCCAGGAACATTTCTTGAGATTCTGAGGGTTTCTCCTGGCTGCCGATCGGCACGAGGCTGTTCATGGCTTGTACTTCTTCTGAGGACGCTTTTCCAGATTGCGTTCGAAGGTGATCCCATTCTTCACTGTAAAAAAGTGCCTTTAGTAAGTGTGCGAAGTTTTGATTATAGCGTTAACGGTATGCCAAATCTAACCGAAAAAAGTTAGGTTAGGTAGGAAGGGGACCTAAGTGAGGGTAACAAAGACGAGTGTAGGTACGTGTAACCGTGTAAAGAAGTTCGTTCGTTTCAGCCGAAAGACGTCCACAGCTGGACAAAGGCCTCCCCCAAGGATTTCCACGAAGACCGATCATGTAAAGAAGTATAGGCTAATAAAGGTAACTGGGTTTCTTCCGCCACTTCTCAACACCAGCTGATATGATGTGGTAGGGAAAGCTGTATTTTTTGTCCTGAAAAGAGCTAATAAGGAATTAGAATTAGAATACTCACGCGGACACGTGTGGGTTGTCCCGCACTCGCGTGTGCGGTGGGACATTGGGGGTGCGCGCGGGTGCCACGATGCGCACCACTTCCACTGATGATTGTAGCTTCAAGTAACCCAGGTACAGACCGCGCGGCAGCTGCACTCGAGACACCTGATAGAAAGAGAGAGATATTGTTTATTTTGTTCATCTGCTAACAGATGTTCAACTGCTTGTTAGATGACACACAGATGCTATCATAGCCGGTTTTGCGTAGCACGCATTCAGGTGCTTCCCATTTGTGTGTGTTGACACATCAATATCAAGCAATAAGACCTAAATGGAATCGTCCCAACGTCTTTGGGCCTGTTTTACAACCTAACATATCTTCAAAATCAATATCGTCCTGGTGACAGACAAGGAGGGGAAAGTAGTACGAGTTGATCCCCTGGGGTAAGATGATCTTTCGCGATTGTGCTGAAACCACTAACGTCATTTAGTTTCTTTCACTGGTAAAACATAGCTCTAGACACATCCCCGCCTCAGTCAAATCGTAATGGTGGCGTGAGCGATACATCGAATTTGACGAGAAAAAAGAAAAATTGTGTACTTCTGATCTAAAATAGGCATGACTTTGAGCTTATGTTACTTTTATTCAAACAATGTTAAATGTAATTATGTCGTTAGGCTTTCTATTATGTTTAATTTTAATATTTTGGCCATAAAAACGTAGCCGCGTACTTGTAATTTATTTTAGCAAATATTTAACAAAAAGTGGGACTTGGGTCAAGATGATCCCTTCCTATATGTACGAGATGATCCCTGGGAATTAAAACAAAAAAGTCAATGGAGTAGGTAAAGGGAAGTGAAATAAAAGAATGAGAACTTCATATAACTCACCTGAGTTTGAAGGAGATGACACTGAGTGGCTGTACTGAACAGAAAAGTTTTCAAGCGATACCAAGGGTGAAGGATGGATAAAATGTTATGCATGTGGAAAATGGGGCCATAAAGCATGTGCTGGGGTAGAGGGTGATGAAGCAGGTGAATTTATTTGTGATATATTCAACACAGCTCTAGCCAAAAAGCGTTTCAATTATTTAAACGCTTTTTAGCAGGTACTAAGAAAGAATCAGTTATTTTCGTTATTTAATTCGTAAATGTTTATCTTTTTTAACTTTTTAACGATTTGTTCGCATAATTAGATACTCCGAAAGGATTATAACCAGAAAAGAATAGATCATAGAATAGAATCATAGGGATCATCTTACCCCTACCTGGGGGATCATCTTACCCACAGGGGTGTACAAGATGATCACTTTGTAAGGTTTTGCAAAAAATGAAATATTTTAATGAAACCTCAATTAATTTCTGGTTTTGAGTATAAGGAAAGTTGGATAGATAAATATACTAGTAGTAATCGTCTTTATTTTTGGTTTACCTTGAAAAATATGTATTTTACAGCGATTCCCGCTTAAGGGGATCATCTCGTACTACTTTCCCCGAATTCCTAAATAATTTCGTTTGAACGAACTTAATAAGCCTAGTTCGCTGCCTTTCATCATCATTATCATCGTTATTGCAGCGATAAGACTGGCTAAATGGAGCCGTTCCAATTTATAGAGCCATCTAATCATCCCAGCTAGACGCTAGATTTTAGTATCTATTTATATTATTATTGTTATCCTCACCAGATGGTACGCGATCTGATCATGAAAAGAAGCCATGAGCAGTTCTCCGATAGTGTTGTTTTCACTGAGCACGCGGCGACGCAACCCAGGGATATGGGACCCAGCTCCGTTTAGCGCGGAGACTGCTTAGACAGATTTGCACGCACGGAATGGGTGCTATGCAGTTATTGTAATCTCACCTGGTGATACGCAATCTGATCGTGCACAGAAGCCATGAGCAGCTCGCCAATAGTGTTGTCTTCACTAAGCACGCGACGACGCAACCTGGATACGGGCGCCCATCGGGAGTTGAGCGCGGACACCGACTTGACGGATTTCACGCTGTTCACGCACGAGAGAACCACCGTGCCGTGGGAGTCTCGCAGCGGCTTGTGGTAGAGTTGACCTGCACGAGAAAATTAACATCACAAAACTGTGTAAAAATTAACTTATAAGAAAAAAAATAACAGGTCCAGTTATTAGCCTTAAGTCCAGAATTGCGACTATAGATGTATGTAAGTAATTTGTAGACATCTTTTCGACACTATAAAAAGATTTAATGTAATTTATTCACGTCTGGCGATAAGAATCTTGCCATTTTAGAATGATGCCTAGGAGTTGGGACCCATCAAAATTCTAGATCACGGGACTAATAGATACCACCTCTCGTCGTTGCAACTCCTGTGTAGCCAGGATCTACAGCCTGACCGCCAATCAAGACCCAAAGAATTAAGGCAAAGTTTTTTTCTAGATCAGCTCAAACCACCAAAAGAAAGATAGATTTCTACTTAGATAATTATACCACATAAGTACCTAAATCCTGTATACACAGAGCAGATTGCATTTGAGCGGCGGCTGTCAGTAGTTTCAGCCTGAAGTGGATGGACGAGGAGGTGTGCTTCTCCATGTCAGACCGCAGCGATTTGACTTCGTCCCATGAACATGACACCTGAAAAGTAACAATAGTATCAGTATTAATAATTCTAAGACACCAGGGCTCATCGTGACCAGCATTGGCGTATCAAAGGTTATGTTTCAGGGATAGCATGGAGTCCATTCTGGGGTACCACCCGGCCCCACCCTTGTATACGCGTATTATGATGAGTTACCAAAGTTAAGGGTTTGTCACTGTTTTCATGTCATGCAACGAATAGATACCTACTATCAGAAGAGAAAAATGTATGTATTTGACGACATTGGAAATACAGAGCGATGTAACTTTTCAGATAATTAAGTTAATAGAAGTCTGAAATGTGCACTTTGCGACCCTTTTGAGCCTTCCAAAGAAGCTTTGAAGCCTCGAGCTACCCGACAATGATTTATAGTAAAGTAGATAATTATGTTACAGTCAAAACTCATAATCGGTCAAAACCACTTTTGACTGATTCTTTTTTCTATTGACCAAGGACAAAGTGGTTTTGACCGATTATGAGTTTTGACTTTGACTGCAACAGATATACCCTTTTTGGGATTAGGTACTTACCTACTGATTTTCCAGGTTGTTCTTACCTTCATGAGCCAATGGAAGTCGGTGTAGATGCAGGTGGGGTAGGTCTCGTCGACCTCTATGACCGGCAGAAACTCCTCGCTGGTGACCAGCACCTTGTCTTCGTGGTACAGGATACACGCAAGGTATACGCCTCTGTGAAGTTAAGCTTGTTTAAATTGGGGGAGTCCGAAGCTGAGGATCGAATGCAAGAGAAAGGTAGGCAAATGATTTTTCATGACGAAGTTCTGGAAAAAAGGTATCTACATAATATGTATAATGAGACGACGATATCAAGGCATCTTACGTAACAACATAAGGAGATTTAGTTGACCTGTAGAGTTTTTGTTACAGAACACGGCAGTATTTGATTGCAATCGCACCTAATGTTAAGACTAAGTGAGATGCAGTTTTATAGTTTTAAAACTTAGTTGTTCACAGAGATCGAACTGCGTCCTCTTGAATCGGCACAGATGCCGGTACCGGCGAGTTATTGCTGTTCATCTTTTTCACCTCCAAATAGGTGTATGTACGTTAGACACCTAAGTATGTCGGTGTCAGATTGACACTAACATGACCTTAGTTCATCACCACTATAGAAAAAAAAGGTGTGTCTTAATACACGTTAGTTATTTGATCTTTACCTTCTAAGGTTCTTCTGGAATTTACTAGCAGCAGTGAACAGTTGTCGTATAGTCGCTGTCTTCTTCCTCGGCAGGCGCGGCGGCTGCGCCGGCGGTCGGTGGCGGGCACCGGCGGCGGCGGAGGCGAGCGCTTCGAGAGCCGCCGCCGCCCCGCCGGAATCGCCGCGAGTGGCCCTGGAGGATACGTCTCGCCAGCCTGGAGACAAGCGAAGGTAGGCCTTAATATAGTTCCCATAGACAGTAAGATACGTAAAAGATCCATAACAGATTCATTTCGTACGCAACTTTTTTGTTTGTAACTTGTTATAAGTACTTTTTTACAGATGAAACGATCACGAAATGTAATTTCATTGCGACTTGTGCCTTCTTGTGCTTTCTAGCGGTGTGGTGACGGCAGAGTAGAATACATTTGTCACCAACCCCTACTCTTCCCGCGGGTGTCGTAAGAGGCGACTTAGGGACTACACATCAAACAGAGAATGGGCAGCAGCGCTCTCTGAAAAACATCAATCTTTTAAACTGCGATCTCCAACCCGCCTGCCAAGCGTGGAGATTATGGCAAAACCCTCCACTATAGTGGAGGAGGCTCATAGTCCAGCAGTGGACTGTAAAGGGCTGTTGATGATTGTGCCTTCATAAGTGCCACTTGTGGTCTAAACTGAATAAATATTTTTGATTTTGATTTAGATAATAAAGATGCGACATCAAGCTTAGTAGACTGATATAGCATGACACGTTGGGAAATAGTCCGACTTTACATGATTGATTAGCGATACTTGCATGTTTTAACTTTTAACTTAAATCTCTACCAACAGTACCAACCGATAGGTAAGTACCTACTACGGTCTATAAAGACCACCCCACAAATCACAAACCAATAAGCAAGAGTCGTAACACGTTAAACACGTAACACTTTATACAACAGTAAATAATAAACTCACTGCTAGGAACGACGCTTCTCGGCACCGACACCGTGAAAGGCCCCCAGCCCTTAAGGTTCCCAGCGGCCGCCCTGAAGAAGTACCGGCGGCCGCGGGTCAGGCCGGCCGCCAGGACCCTGGTCCCGCCGCTAGACACGATGGCCGCCACCTCCTGACTGCCGCACACGTTGGAGAAGTCCGCGCGGGATGACCATTCCACTGGAATACAAGTGGTATTGTTAGCGGTGAGGTTCCTTCCTATTATTACGTATTTTTAGGAGAGTCTGTTACTGTCACTCAAGTTGGTATTTCGCTTTGCGTGAGAGAGATAGATAGATACACTTGCAGGAATAGGCCCAGTGATATGAGAGATTTCAATTGATTATCTCGAGACAGTAGCTTAGGTAGCAAAGCATACAGGAAAAAAAATATGGGGGAGCTGTAGGATAATCATCAGGTCTAAGTACATAGCCTGTTATTTACCACCTGGCCTCAAAATATTGGCGGTCTTTTTGTGCGATGAATGTTCTTCAGTCGATGAATAAACGAACACCTGTACCAATATCGTATACGGACCCCCAACCCGTCTGGCCAGCAGCGCGAGGAGTTTCGGCTGAATGCTCATTGAAGACCTTGATTGAAGATCTGATGATGTTTCTGTATATTTATTAATTACCTTCATACTTGGTGGTGATAGTGATGGGCGGGTTTCTTGCACGACGTGCATCCAAGACGGTGACTAATGAGCAAATATGATATCATCAGCCCTCCTGACCTACCTGGTCGGTATAAGCCTTTAAATTCCTCTTTATCTTACCAGAGGAGTATTAAAGAGACCGTTTTCATAGAGACCAAATGACCTGATGATACTCTAACTTATAATATTCTGTACCTCCAGGTCGGGCGGCGGCGGCGCGGCCGGCGCGCGCGACTGCAGCACTAGGCGGCTGGAAGTGGAGTGTTTTTACTTACCTTTAGTTGGTAGGCTGCTGCTATCAGGACGGGTCGCGAAACGAAAGAACGAAAACTAAGTAACTTATAGGTAAAATGAGTAAAAATAACACCTCGCTCAGCCAGTATGTGAACTGTTGCCAGCCGAGCACTAGGCGTCTAGGAGTGGAGTCTCTTGCCTTTATTTGGTAGTGATGGACGGTCATCGGTATCCTTCAGCTGGACGGTGGCTATAAGTATTGGGAAAGATGTGTAAAAAGTGGTGCCTCCTCGTCTAGTCAGCATGAAGAGTGTAGCCTTGCTTTTTACCTCTGGTAAGTTAGAGAAGGTCATATTCCTGCAGTGGAGACCAAATGCCTATCTCTTTATTAGTTTATAGGCGCGGGTCTCTGCGCGACGTTCGTCCTTCAGTCTAAGAACCAGGACGCGATGTGCAAATATGTGACAGCGTGGGGAGTGTAGGCCAAACAGTCTTTAATTCTTACCAGTGTGGATTAATAGAGGTTAGATTCCTACACTAGATACCATATGACCTGATGATGAAGAATCACCTATCTTTACTGTTTACCTCTATACTTGGTAGTGACGGCGTGCGCGACTGCTGCCAGCCGAGCACTAGATACATAGCCTCGCCATATTTATCACCTGGCCCATAAGTATAGGTGGTTTTTTGTGCGACTATAGTGTCCTTCAGTCGGTGAAAATGCCATCAGTATCACCTGATGCCAGACGGCTCTGGCCAGCAGCGAGAAAACTCCTCTTTATTTTACCAGATGAGTATTAAAGAGTGCTCCTATAAGTAGGGAATAAATGACTGGATTATGCTGATGATACTCTAAAATCCGGTCGCCGAGCACGAAGAATTTCGTCTAAAGACCCCAAGCTGCCCATCCTCATCGCTCGCACGTAATTATATTGCTGTCGCGTCGCACACTCACTGCGGCCACCCGTCGCAAGTGCGAACGATAAGGATGGGTAGCTTGGGGTCATTGGACGAAATTTTAAATGCTCGGCGACCGGACTATAATAGTTTACCTCTATACTTGGTGGTGATGGGCGGGTCCCGCTGCGCGACGTGCGGCGCGCGCGCGTCCCTCAGCCGCGCGGTGACTAAGTAGATATGAGGTACTTAAGGGAAAGATGTGAGAAAATCACGCCTTCTCGTCCAGCCAGCATCAGGAGTATACCTAGCATCCTCTGGTAAGTTACAGAAGGTCTTACTCCTGCAGTAGAGATCAGTTGCCTGTCTTTATTGTATACCTCTATACTTGGTGGTGATGGGCGGGTCCCGCTGCGCGACGTGCGGCGCGCGCGCGTCCTTCAGCCGCGCGGTGACGGCGTGCGCGCCGCACACCTCCAGCTCGGGCGGCGGCGGCGCGACCGGCGCGCGCGACTGCTGCCAGCCGAGGACTTGTGTATACCTACCTTTATAGTTGGTAGGCTGCTGCTATCAGGACGGGTCGCGAAACGAAAGAACGAAAACTAAGTAACTTATAGGTAAAATTAGTAAAAATAACACCTCGCTCAGCCAGTATATGAACTGTTGCCAGCCGAGCACTAGGCGTCTAGGAGTGGAGTCTCTTGCCTTTATTTGGTAGTGATGAGCAGTCATCGGCATCCTTCAGCTGGACGGTGGCTATAAGTATTGGGAAAGATATATGTAAAAAGTGGTGCCTCCTCGTCTAGTCAGCATGAAGAGTGTAAGCCTTGCTTTTTACCTCTGGTAACTTAGAGAGGCTCATGCTCCTGAAGTGGAGACCAATATGTACTTATCTCTTTATTAGTTTATAGGCGCGGGTCTATGCGCGACGTTTGTCCTTCAGTCTAAGAACCAGGACGCGATGTGCAAACAAGTGACAGCGTGGGGAGTGTAGGCCAAACATTCTTTAATTCTTATCAGTGTGGAGTTATAGAGGCTACACTAGATACCAAATGACCTGATGATGAATGACTTATGTCTTTATTGTTTACCTCTATACTTGGTAGTGATGGGCGGGTCTCGCTGCGCGACGTGCGGCGCGCGCGCGTCCTTCAGCCGCGCGGTGACGGCGTGCGCGCCGCACACCTCCAGCTCGGGCGGCGGCGGCGCGGCCGGCGCGCGCGACTGCTGCCAGCCGAGCACTAGGCGTCTGGAAAATAAAACGTTTTTTAAATGTTAGTTCTTTATTTTAAACGTTCGCATTTTTTTTTTCATTTATCTTAAAAACTTACACTCTGGTCAGAAAAGCCATTAAAAAGAACGATGTGATTTTTGTTGATCCAAAAACTTTTTATGAAAAGATACGCGCGCCTTTTTTATGCAGAACAATACAACAAATATGAGCGCAATCGCACCTGATGCAGTCGGTTACAGGGCAGAGAGGCAATTAATTGCCTATTCTATGGGTAGCTTGGGGTCATTGGACGAAATTCTACGTGCTCGGCGACGCGACGCTAGAAAAGGCCCGGATTATAGTGGGTTGGACAGCAGGCAGCGAATTCCAGTCCCTAGCTGTTCGCATTATGAAAGAGTTATCGTTGGATTATCCCAATAAAGAAGAGTTGTTTAAAATGTATCAAATATTATTATTTGACAATTTGATGACATGACCAATTAACCAGACCAATCTGTGATTTCGTCAAGAGTGGAATCGTAAAATATTGTAGGTACATAAAATGCTACAGCAACCTAGCTTGATGAGTTTCGATCAGACTTAACCTTAAGATAAACTGTCAAACGACATGATAAGACCCTTACTTGAGCGTCCGCACCCTTCTCTCCCAGTGCTGGGCTTGCTTGTCCTTCTCCGAGCCGGCGCCGCCCGCGCAGCCAGTCGTGCCGGCTTGGCCACCCGCTGATGATCTGGTGGTGGAAGAAGAAAAATGGGTTAACGTTTTGTGTTGAGATAAACAAATTATGGATGTCGCAGATATGTCCAAAAGATAAGATAGGAATCTGGCAAGACCAATTCAATCATTTAAGATGTAAGGTTTTGATTACACAATCATAAGTACGTGACAAAAGAAGAATCACACACGATCCTAGTTTCTTACATGGACGTGCAGGGAATAATAATATTATTCCCCGCCTAAGCGTATAGTGCACATCGATCCATTGGGTGAGTGTTTCATGGAGTCTCAATTGGTTTCATTTACCTACTTTTATTATAAAATCAAGCCAATAGCACGTAACAAAAGAAGAATCACGTATGATCCTAGTTCCTCACTTGGGCGTGCTGGGAATATCTCACGCCTAAGCGTAGTGCACATCGATCCATTGGGTAAGTGTTTTATGGACTCCGTATGTTCTTCACATGCTCGACAGCGATATTTTGGTTTTAGACCCATTTTATGGAGGATTTATGGTTCGATGCATAGTGCTCATAGGTTTACCTTCTATTTCTACTGAATATAAGTTTTACTGTGTACATGAGAAATAAGACAAACTAGTTCTTAATGCAATGTGTTAAGACCTATCTTACCTTGTGCAAGCCTCGTCCCGGCACGTCCTCTCCGGCGCACAGCCCACGACCTCGTGAAGGCGCGCCTCTGCATCTCGCACCAACCTTCGGAGATGAGCGCCGAGCGCTTCCGAACTTTTGACTGGAACAAACAATAATTACATTGTTTAACACTATATCGACGGCAGAAAGCGGAAATGTCGTATCTCAAAAATTGGCTAAAATGACTTTTAATTGTATTGTATTAAGAAAAAAAAGCCGCGTCGAATGGTGTATGTATCGTCTTTCTACGATGAAAAAAAATATAGATACGTCATAGATTTTTTTCCAGTATTTTTNTGTAGAAAGTTATTTCATTATATGGTCCATACAGCGAAATAGCCCTGTAGAGTTTATCGTTTCTTTGAGATACAGCAGATCCGCTGCCTGGGAATTGAAGTCAACTTAAATAAGCCATACATTTTACCTTCCTGATACAACATTTCTGCAGCTCGATATTAAAAAATCAATTGCTGTAACTAGTCAAAAGTCAATGAAGTAGTAACTCTAGATTATTCCAATCACCTTTATTAAATAAAGTTTAATTAGTAGACAAAACATGTAAAATTTCAGCTTTCTAACTTTCTTAATTTAAGATTTATGAATTTTTGAAATAGTTTTTTTGCTCTGGTGTAAAATCGGACTTTTTGAGATACGACAAAATCGCTTTCTGCCGTCGATATAGACATACTAGCTTTCCGCCCACGGCTTCGCCCGCGTGGAATTTTGTCTGTCACAGAAAAACTTCATCGCGCGCATCCCTGTTTCAAATACCGGGACTCAAACTATCTATATGCCAAATTCAGTAGTATAGGCGTGAAAGCAAGACAGACAGAGAGACAGAGTTACTTTCGCATTTATAATATTAGTATAGATAGTATTAGATAAAACGCTGAGAAAACAATACTTTATGAATTTGAGATCCACATTTCTACAACGGTCAGAAATGGAATTCTGGCAGTAACAAAAGAGACGGTGAGACGGTTTGAATCCTGCTTCTTAATTGTGTAATTCGGCATCCGTTAAGTAGGTAGGTAGTCCTTGGTTATGTAAGTGGCATGCTATTTTAAAATTCACTAACTAATTTCTTAAATCGATTTCATCAAAAGTTGTACCTTCAACGTATTTAGGGGTTTCAGGAAAGTTAGGTTTTCGGGTAGTCTACAAAGGCAATTGTTTTGGAAAAGTTAAGTAAGGATTTTAAAAAGTTAGGTTTTCGGTAAGGTAAGTTTTCGAAAGCGATTTTGTCACTGTAATCATGTTTTATGACTTTGACCCCAGTCCCCAGTACCTAACAAGTTGAAGACCCACCAACTTAGAGCGCCACGTGCCTTTGTTTGTTCATTTCCTTTCACTGTATACATAAGTGCCTACTTTTTGACAGACGGGCCTACAACATGTTCATGTCCTTTGACATGTTAATAGTTTATAAACATTACACAAGTTACACGCGTCTACTACTCATATCAAGCATCGTGGGTTCAGCAAATAACTGTGTTATTATTCAGTATAGAAGGCGAAGATGCAGTAGGTTTATCTTTTCTTTCGGGTTTAAAGTGTAATTCATAAGCATATAATCCAGTAAAATTGCCTTGGTATCGGCTGCACATGAGCTAAAGATTGAAGTATCTTTGTGGTATGTTTTTGTTTTAAATTTTTGCAGTATCACATTTAGTAGTTACTTACACACTAGGATGTGTTCCTACATTTTCACGAAATGATTGCGTGATTTTGTTTAAAAGCTAGTGCACTAAATGATTTCTTTGGAATTATGTTTTCTCCTTCACTCTATTTGTAATTTTAACTTACCTACACTTTTTTATTTCATGGCACAAATTACTGTGTTTGTGTTTCAGCTGTATATTTTCCAAATAAACAAAGACCAATAGTTTTTCAGATTTTATTTTTTAACAATAGTCTGTAGAGCTAGCTACTGCTGTAACAGATCTATCTAATTTGGGGTCATATTACCTATATTGGTTTTCGAAGTTGAACTGAAAAATGTGCTTCTACTGTGAATCTCTCAACTATGTTTACTCCAGTACACAATCCGTAGGAGTTTGTATTGTATCGGAATGTTAGTTTTGAGATCCCAAGTTAATTGAATTATATAACCGATGCTATTATTTATTAACTGTTACTAGAAACCAACGATAATGTCAGGTTAATATTTGATTATCAAATTGAATCGACGACGTAATAAAACAACATCCTAGCGCTATGATATTTGATTTGAATTATCTGAACAATGACTCAAATTAAATGGTTATTAACTCTTTAAACTAACAAACTATTCCACCATGATTCCGTGAGTTCTAAAAGTTTTTATACATATAACCAAATAAAGTTAAGCTAACCGGATTTGTGACAGGAAGTATCGTAAATTTTGTAAAAAACCGTTGTTTTGGTTCATTTTTCAATTTGTGTGCTAGTAAGTTTGTATAGTGACTTAAGTTTTCGTTTTCCAGATATAAGTTACATATCGATGGAATAGGTCACAAGAAATACACCACGAATCCCATGTTTTATACAGGACGTAGATAAATAGTGTTGGGACTACGAGAAACATTCTCGCTCGTAGTCCCATTAACGGGCCAAAATCTTGGGACCGCGAGAAAACAGGGATATAAAACTGACTATGAGTAAACTCTCTATAGCATTGGTTCCCAAAGTGGGGGGCGCGCCCCCCAGGGGAGGCGCAAAGACCTTTAACCCCCCTTTAAAGGCGCGGGCCATCTGTGTAGTCACATGAGTAAAGAATACTCTCTCTTTACTCATGTGGTGTAGTTAAGTATAAAAAACCTGCGACCGCTGAGAGAATACGAATACATTCCAGACTGCTCGATAAGACCAATAAATAAATCTTTACGGGGGGGGGGGAATTTTTCGTATGGTCGAAAGGGGGCGCGTCTCAAATAAGTTAGGGAACCCCTGATCTATAGAGATAGCTCCTTGTTTCGATAGTATCTCTTGAAGGAAGGTTCGATAGATCGATACTTCCAAGTCTTCCAACTTGCAAGTTCGGCCCCCTGGGGATTCGCGACCTTTCGTTCAGTTATACCGATATTCGTACTCCTTGATGTTTTGATAGTTTTATGATTGAGGCAAAATGCGCGGAACGCTTTATCCTTGTGGCAACTTTGGCTGTATTGTTTGAGGATATATTTACTTTATAAGTATGCGGGTGTTGTGAGCGATTGCCAAAATAAGTGTAGGAAAAGTCCTGTCTACAGTACTGTCCGTTCTGGCTAATAAATGTATAAAATGAAATGAATTAATTGTATTTCAACTACCTATTTTACTCGTATTGTGACATCATCACAAGATTATCGTAATTATAAACATGAATAACAGGGTGTCTCGTGCGTACCATAAAGTTGTTACACATGTATAAATAAAAAAATCTACAAAATTATTTTGGTACTATACTTACTCGTTGTAAGACTATTCAAATAAAGCATTTATTATAACATCGATTCATTATTTACCGAACACCATGTATATTGTAAGTAAACATATACACCGCAATACCGACAAATAAAATCTCATTCCATCACCACACCCCCGCAGATGAAATCGCCAGATAAAATCGTATCGGAATTATATCGAGTGCGGATTCGATAAATCTAGATAAGGTCGATTATTTTGAGTTTATTATCGAGTGTCAATACTCTGCTATCTGTTAATCAGGAGCTTTTGTGCTGATATTGCTGACAAATATTTACTTGAATAGAGCTAAATTGGTTAATTTGGTTTAACTAACAACAAATAACGTTCAGTTATTAAGTTAGACTCTGAAAGGTCTGCCGGTTTCTTAATGATTATTTATTATTATTCTTCGAGTTCATCCTTAAATAAGTTCGCAAGATCGAAATATAGAGATGATGTGGCCTTAAGAGCTTTGGAAAACGCAGATTGTTTGGTACACAGTACACACTTTTCATAAGTTAAATTAGGGCGCGCCTTCTTATGTTCTTGATTCCATAGATATTTAATTTAAATTACTTCCTCTTTAGTTATGGTGGCCCAGCGTGAACCAGCAGCGGCCCGCTAAATACTTCAAATAAAGTAATTGAGGCAACAATGATCACTCTGTGATCTTAATATCCCAGAGACGCCGTAAGAAAAAAAAAATAGCTGAATGTAGTCGGTGTCAGGCTGTCGATTCTGGATGTGTCAAGTCAGTAACAGCATTACCTTATCTCGAGGAGCCAACGGGGCTGAGCCAATGAGCAATTTGTGCAATAAAAAGTTCGTTTGTTTCAGCCAAATTCCGCCCACTGCTGGATCAAGGCCCCCAAGGATTTCCAAGAGCAATAAAAGATATATTATTTTTATGTGCAAGACTTACATTGTGTGCCCTCCTTCGCTCCAAATTCCATAAGCATCTTTGCCAGCTGTCGGTTGGTGGACAGCACGGCCACGTCCAGGGGAGAGAGGCCGTCGGAGTTGAGGCTGGAACAAAACAATAAATCACTTGAATAAAATAGAAAAACCTTCATTTGACACGAAAATACAAATTAACAAAGAAAAGAAGAGAAAAAAAAAACCGGCCATGCCACATAAACTAAGGTGTAGAGTTTGTAAAGTTAGGGCGAGTAGAGTTAGAAGCTTGGCTCCATGAGATATGACAACTTTTTCGTAGTGCAAACCATAATAATGATCATGTTTTGACTAAATTTTACATTAAAATGTTATTGGTGGGACTAAAATATTCAGAATACAGTTATATGTACAATGAAGTTTCAACTTTACAAAAGAAGAACGGTCACGTCTCATACAAAAAAAACCCAGACCCGACAGAAACGAGACATACCTCAGTTTTTTTGTCATGTCTTAATTAGTTAAATTATATATTTTTTATATACGAAATCTATGTATAACACCAAAATATTACCCTTTGTTTTTGTTCAGGCGTTATACAAAAACTAATACAAAATGTCTATTTATCACCAAAATTGGTAAATGTATGTACCTAAATGTCTATTACAGCTGCTATGGAATGTATCTATGTGACCTGGAGATACAGCCGGATTATACATGGTGGAAACAATAAGTGATCTCACTCGATTATTTCTAAACTATACAAGATATCGAAAAACTAGTTACTGATTCTGAAAGTGCTTCACGAGCTCTTTCAAATGGTACCAATAATAGGGTACAGATTATGGAAGCTGGTAACATTGAATTTTTTGGATTTTATAACTTATTATTTTTTCCACCCTGTATAATCCAGCTGTATCTCCGGGTCACCTAGATACATTCCATAATAGCTGTAATAGACATTTAGGTACATACATTTACCAATTTTGGTGATAAATAGGCATTTTGTATTAGTTTTTGTATAACGCCTGAACAAAAACAAAGGGTAATATTTTGGTGTTATACATTGATTTCGTATATAAAAAATATATAATTTAACTAATTAGGACATGACAAAAAAACTGAGGTATGTCTCGTTTCTGTCGGGCCTGGGTCACAGATGACCGTTCTTCTTTCATACCACGAGGCTTCAGTTAAGTATTGGAGCAAATGCAAAAGCAGACTATTCACATTACGTACCGCTCTTTATAAACTTTTGAAGCTTTTGTAAACAGCGGGGAAACCATAATTTCAAGTTAAAGATTGTAAATCTTTCAACAATTACTTCACACGCATGGCAACAATCATATTACTGAGGATCGTTAAAATGTCATGGTAAAGACGAATAACAATACACCCTTGCGATAATTTGGACCGAAATTGAATCTGAAAGGTTACTTATTTACAAACTCAGGCGCGGTCTCGCAGGAAAATCTTTATGGAGTGGCGTGTAGGGTGACCATGAGACATTTACTTTAGTCAGGGAAAATAATATTAGGTACCCATACATCCGGAAATGACAGGTTATGGGACTTTTACAGTATAATTATGGACGTCCACCGTCACATAATTAATACACACACCTGCTAAAATCGGCAGTTTTTTTTAAATATCTGACAAAACAGATATTTGATAACAGTCACACTTGGTGATTCTGCTTAACATTCTCATTGACACTGGTTGCATGGGATCCCGTTAAGATTGTAATAGTACGGATGAATGTCGCTGACTAATTGAAGGTAGAGTAGCTGTAGTTCGTTAATTTCGTTCGTTTCAGCCAAATGACGTCCACTGCTGGACAAAGGCCTCCCCCAAGGTTTTCCACAATGAACGGTCCTGGGCTGCCCGCATCCAGGCTCTTCCCGCGACCTTTACCAGATCGTCGGTCCACCTAGTAGGAGGCCTGCCCACGCTACGTTTTTTTTTTTTAATAGATTCTTTTTGTTACAAAGGTACATTAGGTATGACGTATAATAGTAACGTTAATTAATTGCACAAATACATAAGAGAAAATTAAACTACATATTAGGCTGAACAAATAATAGAATATTGATTTCAGGGCCCGCCCGTAAAGAAAAACTTTTAGATTTATCCTAACAAATACTACACGTTTGGTAACCATACTCGTAAGGCTGGCAAGTCGCAAATGTAGAGTGACATATTTGGGTTATTTGCCACCGCAGGAAAAACGCCTTTCTCCCTCGATGCCCGTTAGTTTTTTTGGGAAGTTTCCTTTTCCATTAGCCTTTGGAAGATGAGAGTGCACGTGGAAATTGAGATATAGCTGGCCACATATGAGACCACTTCTAATAAGTTGATGAAAATTGATCAAAATTCAACTATCTGTAGTCTCAATCATTGGTAGCTTATGGAAATCGTTTTGTAGAGAATAGCGTCTGTATTTACAATAGCAAATTGTAGAGATGATAGTTTCAATATTTAATTTTTGAGTTCCACTGGCCCCAAATAGAACACTGATACAATTTCAAAAGATTTACATTAAAATAATATTGAGATTAATTTATTTTTTAATTTAATAAGAGCTCGTAAACTCTACGCTCATGAAATTACAAATACCCACCTATGTACCGTTTATAATAATTAATTCATAAGTGGTTTACTGAATTTTTAATTGGGCATCGTGTGCTATTTGCGTTGAAGGTACATTGACAATGCGCTAATGAGCATTGAACACCGACAATTATGTAGTAATGAGCCAAAAGTGGCTCTAATTGGTTAGCAACTGTTCTCGCTTATTTTTGTCAAAAAGATAATTCTACACTCGCGAGCAAAACTATGGAATCACTTACATGAAGTTGTTTCCACGCGAACTTGTGTACTAACGAATTTGTTAGGAACAAAAAAAGTGGCACCATTTTAAAGATTAAACTTTTATCTTTAAATTGATACCAAATTCATTTAAATCACACCAGTATTTAAAAAGATATCCCGGCTGATGTGAAGAAGTAACGAAAAAGACATGTATGAACTGTTTGAAACGTCGCGAGTTGCGGCCTATTTACCCCCTATAAAAGCACGCGTTTTTAGATTTTTGCTTTCACACGTTGATTCATACACATCTCCGCTTCTTTTGACACTTTACCTGGGATTCTACACCTTCAGAAGCAGCACAAATCGTTGCACTATTGCAAGAAAGGCTCAGCCAGCGGGCTGTCGCACGTCAGCGCCACATAAGTCAGTCCTGGGTTTCGAAAATTTCAAGACGCTTTCGGGAGACTAGTGGCTTTATCCCGAGACCAAGTTCTGAATAGCGCCGGTGCACATCGCAGAGGGAAGACCGTTTTTTCATGTCAACCTCTCTATGAAATCGTCATTTGACTGGAATCGATGTCCATCAAGAGCTCAGAAATGTTCGTAAGATAGCTGTTAGCGAGTGGACAGTTCGTCTAAGATATAAGCAATAGAATTTGACTGCTGAGCCCTTCTTGCAATAGTGCAACGATTTGTGCTGCTTCTGAAGGTGTAGAATCCGAGGTAAAGTGTCAAAAGAAGCGGAGATGTATATGAATCAACGTGTGAAAGCAAAAATCCGAAAACGCGTGCTTTTATAGGCGGTAAATAGGCCGCAAATCGCGACGTATCAAACAGTTCATACGTGTCTTTTTCGTTACTTCTCCACATCAGCCGGGATATCTTTTTAAATACTGGTGTGATTTAAATGAATTTGGTACCAATTTAAAGATAAAAGTTTAATCTTTAAAATGGTGCCACTTTTTTTGTTCCAAACAAATTCGTTAGTACACAAGATCGCGTGGAAACAACTTCATGTAAGTGATTCCATACTTTTGCTCGCGAGTGTACATAGATACAGCGTCGCTATACGCGAGCAGTATAACTGATTTGCAGCAGGCCCACAGACTATTTCACATGATTATCTGCTCAAAGTGACAGCATATCCGACTATATTTTTTTATTAAATTGTCGTATCTATTACAACTATACAGGGTGGAAACGATAAGACGTGATCTCACTCGATTAAAACTATACAAGATTTCGAAAAACTGGTTACTGATCCTGAAAGTGATTCACGAGCTTTTTCAAACGGTACCATTAATATTTGACTGATATTAAGTTATTTTTAAAAATGGACTTAATAGACTTGTTCGATGCGTCTTAGGCCCAGAACAGACGGTGAAACACAACTGCAACGACACTGCAACTGCTAGTTACTTTTGAGTTGCATCTAAGTTTCTGTCATAGCGTTGAGAGAGCACACATGACGCGACCAGTTTGAAACTTTCAGTTTCAGTTTCATTCATCAGAATCATCACAAAGTTGCAGTTTCGTTGCAGTTGCGTTTCACCGTCTGTTCTGGGCCTTAGGCTCATCTACCTCTGGTGTTAGTGTGACGTGTTCAAAGTCAAAGTCAAAGTCAAAATTTCTTTATTTGTNTTTTTGAACTCTAAAGTTTAAATAGGATTGTATTAAATCCAAAGCCGAGTCCTTTACCCCATAATAGTGCAGTTTGCGAATTAGCGTTTGATGTTCTACGCAGTCAAAAGCTTTTGAGAGATCACAGAAGACCCCTAGTGCATTTTGAGAATTCTCCCAAGCCTCGAAGATATGTTTAAGTAGTGTTAATTTTGGGATAACCTGTAGGTAAATACCTACCTATTTCGTATTTGCAATTTGTGACTAACATTCATATCCCTCCGTTTCATATACGCACTTAGTGAGTATATTGAGTCTTCCTCCACTGTATATCAAATAGTTAAAAAATAAGGAACTACTAATTGTATAAACGAGGCCTTGGCTACCAACAATAGCCGGATTGTTTTCTCATCGAATGAGTGGCGTTATCTTGATGAATACATCCAGTCAAAGTTAACTCGTATTTGGTTACACAGAAATGTTTAACTTTTGGATTTAATTTTGTTTGTGAAGTTAAGGTATATTCCCATTTGATACGAACGAACGAATGCGAAGTTAACCTGCTTAGCCAGGGTGGTGAGTGTAGACCAAATCCTCCATTTCATCATCATCATTTCAGTCAAAGGACGTCCACTGCTGAAGATAGGCCTGCCCCAATGATCGCTCGGTTTTTGCTACCTTTATGAGGTCGTCGGTCAACCTTGAGAGTTGTAAAATTTAAATTAAGGATTGTCGTGCTCCTGTCGTAGCGACTAATGATGACGAACGAACAAAAACGGGCCGATGTGTACCCGGTACCGTCCAAATCGGGTCCGTGGGGTTATGAAAATATGTATCATTACTGTATGTAGAGCACTCTAGCAGTTACTTACTTGGAATTTAACAAAAACGTACAGTTTAGCTCTAACTTATGTATTCGTATCTCTTATAATTTTATTAGACATTTTCGCGAAAATTACTGTTTTTAGTTTGTGATTCTTCAATAGGTAGTCAAACCAAATATCACTGTTAAATTGTAGCTAACTACCTACTTACTCGTAAACTATTGTGTACTCTACTGTTTTCTTCATTGTTCACAAGTAACTAACAATGAGGTACGGAAATATAATACTCATTTTGCTTGAATTTAACCTTCCAACTTACTGTGAAGCTTAAAGTTTCAGCTTGAATGCTTAAAACTTAAGAGCGCTAAGTCAAGACTCATTATTGTGCACCTTTCACTGCAGGTTAAGAGTGCTAAATGAACCTTTTTTTCAGAGGATGATTACTTACTTATCTAACTACATTACAGTTTATTTAAAAAATATTTAATTTCATAACTAATGTTCGTATCGACTTTCAGAAAGTGTAATGGTTTTGTCACTTGATAATAATCATACTCATTTTCTTGCAACACTGATAAACTTTTAATAGTAAATGTATGCGCCCGGTTGAATATCCAATCTTACATTATAATACTTAAATTCAATTTGCAGTAAATTCTATTAAAGTTGCACATAATGTGTTTGTTTCAGCAAAATCCCAGAAGTAATCTAGCAGTCCCTGCACTGTTCACATGAAATTGTATTAAATAATATTTGGTTTATGCGAAAGTAGAGTCAGCATAGTTGTCAAAACTAGGCAACTATCTATAAAACAACTTATTTAGATCATAAAATAATATAAGATTGATTCGTGATATACTCGTTTTTATCACATTAGGCTGCGTTTCCACCAGAGATATGCGAGGATGCGTAGCGAGGGTTGTGTTTGAAAAGAACCAATAGAATCGCTTCATTTAGCGAGGCAAAGTAACTTATTATTTGTATATTATCTAAGCTGGATTTGAACCCATAAATAGTACCTGACGTTCTAATCTGGACTCGAACCTCCAGGGCACGCAACAGTGTTTATTTGTACAAGTTTGTTGATTCATCATTTTAATGCTTGACATGTCAGGTGCAACGGTGCACGTTACGATATCGTTTGTTCCTTTTTGACATCCATCATCATCATCATCATCATCATCATCATCATCAGATCATTTAGTCCATTTCAGGAGTACGACCTTCTCTAAACTACATAGTAGCAAATGAAGGATTTGGCCTACACAGTACACACCTCATGCTGGCCAAGCAAGTTGGGGAGGCCTGGATTTCGAATATTTTTCATGTAAGAAGGAACTTTATACACAGAAGAAAAAAATAGAAGAATATAAAGACTTAAACGGGACTATTCCCACCTCTCTTTTCCATCGCTACATCTCCTGCGTATCTACAGCTTGACCGCCAATAAAATCCCAACCAGTGAAGGTCAAGTTTAGTTCAGACTTTAAGTAACAATTTCCAATATCTACCTGTTGACATCCACGTCTGTGGACTCCAAGATGTTCCGCGCTTTGTCCAGGTAGCCATGTTCCACTGCCGCGAAGAGGGCTGCAACAATACAAAAACGAAGTTCAAAACGAGAAAAGAATAGGGAAGAGGGAATTTAATCCGTAAATACTATAATACACAGAACTAACAATACAAAAAATTAAAATTTTATGGTAGGCAGATATGCACTCCCACATCGCCCGGTTGATAGCGACCTGCATCCAGCGCCTTCAGCAACCTTTATGAGGTCGTCGGCCCACCTTGTGAGTGGTCACACTATGTGCGATGTGGAAATCATTGGGGGAGGCCTGCATTCAGCAGTCCTGTGGCTGAAATGATGATGACGAAGACGCGCATTTTGAAAATAATTAATTCGTACATAAACAAGCTGATAGGGATAAGAAATATGTAATAATTTTGAACATTATTATAGGTTATTGCGGTTGATTTAATTAGGGATACCAGTTTGTTTCTTTTCCTGTTTAAAATGAAATAAACCTCTAGTTTAAAGTATTAATTGAGTAGCATTACTCGTTGATATACCTCAAAAGGTACAGATGACAGCACAACTTCAGACTAAACAACTGTTGTAAAATGAAACATACAGAGGGTATCCCAAAAAGTAGTGTCAAGCCGAAGCCTAGAACTAGAGCATCACTAGGGCTATCCAAATTACACCCATGTATGTTCCGCGATTTTTGATAGTTTTCGAGTTATGATTGTTTTAAATTTCTGTGCTTAGGCACGATTTTGGTCACTGGGGCGCGGATAGTTTTTTTTTTTTTTTTATGCATAACAAGGCAGGTGATGTTAAGTGGGATGCAGTCTAGGATGGTACATATCTGCCCTGTAAGTGCCTATTCACTCTCGCCTTGAAGTGGCCCGGATTATAGTTAGTCAAGTTACATGCCTGAATTTTTAGTAAGTATTATTAGATGAATACTAGGCTGCAGTTGTATGTTCAGCAAACTGTGTGTAAATTTGTGTTCTCTTCATTGAAGAGGTGTATTCGGTGTTAAGTTTAATGTCTAATTAAAAACAAGACGACAAAACTTCTTGTTTGTAATCGGCAGTGATTAAAAAAATAAAATAAAATAAAGAGTTTCAATATCCACAAGCCTGGCAGCTAACAAAAACAAGAACAACACAAAAAAAATAAAAAAGAACGAAATAATACCATGCAGGTGTATGTTAACTTGTGCGATTTTGTCTTGATGCGCGCGCGCGTCCTTCTGCTGACGACGGGTCGCCTTGTCGAGGGTCGGGGGGAGGGGAGCGCACGCGCTTAGAGACGGCAGCTCCCCCCCACACCCCTCCAGCAACGCGCCGTACTGGAGTTCTAGAGAAACAAAAAGTAACTTAAAGAAAAAAGAAAAGAAACTAAAAATAAATTGGAAACAGAGCCGCTGTCAACAAAATATCAAACAAAAAAAAAACAAATGAAAAACAAGAATTACTCAATAAATCAATAAACCATTAAGCCTGAGATTATTATCAAAAATTCTTCTTGAATTCGTAAGATTTGACGTCAAAGTATTATCAACCGACTTCAAAAAAGGAGGAGGTTCTCAATTCGACCCGTATGTTTTTTTTTTTTCTATGTTTTTTTGCATCGATTCGTTGATGTCTTTTCCTCATCGATGTGAAATGTTTCTAATTATATCGCTCCGTCACGCAAATGCTTTAATTCGATATCTCTTACTCGTATTTAAATAGGATCTATTATATTTTTGTATTTCACAAAACATACCTAATTTAAAAATAAATAAAAAAAATTGTTTGACAACTTTAAAATGATGTTAATGTTGAACCCGGAATCATGGAAGTTTCTAGTAAAAGTATTGTTTTTTAAAATAATCTTGTTTTACAAGACGTTCCTATGGTATCTGTTACCTGTTTAGAAAACATTCTGCATAGTTTTAACTAGTACTTATGAGTATTAGTTACAGTTGTAACAATTATTTATTTTAAGTATTTAAAAAGCGGCAAAATTTTGCCTGATAAATAAATTGGCCAACCTTAGCCAACAGTACTTCATCAGCTATTAACAACATGTCCACTGATGAATTCAAAGCCATTCGAAGCCAAAGGATTGTATGTAAATGCTCGACAGATACTCGGCACCAAATTCATTGCCTAAAATTATGGCCTTTTACTTAAAAAAAAAACGTACATGCTGGTGTTTATTTCCGCATATTTTTTGCGAAATGAAAAAATAAATAAAAACAAAGCACTGCGAATAATATTCAATAAATGTTTTTTTTATCTAGGTCGAACTAAAAAGTGTATATTCAACTTTTGTGTGATTCACTACAAAGTTTAGTGTGTTACTACTCTTTGCCTTATCAAATTTGATGACGAGAGTCGAAAAGATAGCATTGGTAATACGTTTCTTTCTCTTTATTTTATTCCTGGGATCTTAACTTTTGTCGTTTGTCGATCTTAACAAAGCCATTAAAATAAATCTAGAGCATCAAACGTTAACGATAAGAGAATTATCTAAGGCTTTTTTTTATTATTTTGAAGTGGGCTAAAATTCCAAACAACTTTTCATCAAATAAATTAAGTGTTTGTCTGACAAATTGCTATTTTATTTCAGTAAACACGTTAGGTATTATTATTTCATTTGTCTGTATTTTAACATTACACGTTTCTTTTTTACAAACATTCTTTTTGAGATACAAAACATTTTTTTAAATACATACATCACCCTCTGCACTTCGCTCTCACAAAACAATATGAAAATATAAATAAGTTAAATGGGACAAGCAAATGTTTAAGTTTTTTTCAAAAAAATTATGTTTGTTCTTTTCTTTCTAGAATAAGTCTGATGGAATTACAATATTTTCGTGATGTAAGCCTCGTTAATAATAATAACCGAGTAAATAATACAAGACTTCATGTACTACATATTATGTCACTGGTAATCTTGTTACTTATGTATTTTATGCACATATTATGAGGTAACAAAACGTTGCCGTTGTTTCAACTTTAAAACAAGAAGAGAAATGGTCGATTATGATAATCATAGCTGTCGAAGAATACATTTTTACGTCATTTATGCTAGTTAACAATGCGAAGTTTGTTTACCTCTCTGCATTAATAAACATAGAGTTTTATCTTTTTTTTGCTATTACAAAACAATGATTTGATGATAACTTTAGATAAGGTGATTTGGTATTACATTAGAATATTAACCAATATTTTAAGTAATAATAGTTTATGTAATAGTTGAAATAAATAATGGAATTTTCGTATGCCTCTGAGTTTTTTTATGCATAACAAGGCAGGTATTTGACCACAATCGCACTTGATGTTAAAAAAGTGGGATGCAGTCTAGGATGGTACATATCTGCCCTGTAAGTGCCTATTCGCTCTCGCCTTGAAAAGGCCTAAAGAGTTTTAACGCACAAAATCCACTGACTTGCCAGAAAGTCACTGAGGATTTCATTTTCTTTAGTTTTACTTAGTTTATTCTTAAGTTATTTTCAAAGCAGTTTTATTCCACATCACCAAGTTTAGGATGTAAAGTAAACTCTACATACCTATTTGTTGCAAAAAATTGCTGTTATTAACTGTTATATGGCCGCAGTGTTCAGCTAGATATAACGTTGTGTATACTAAAATATGTGACAGACTGTATGCATAACTGAATGTAAAAATCAAACGTCCTCAAGCGCAAGACAAGGTAACTCAATGGCCTTATTTGGCACCATGCAACCCATTACGATTAGGATTTTGGCCGATCACAAATTCACAAGGCAAACCTGCAGTGCATTGAGTTTTGACAATATTGTGATAGCAATTTTGTGATAGCAATGATGAAGTATTACCTCTTTAGTGACGTTGTTAGCATGGGAATGTGAGTTTTGTTCGATTGTGTTAAAATTCAAGTTTGATAAAACATAATTTCTTAAATAAAACACACTTTAGCATCTATATCAGATATTGAAAAATATACTCGTAAGAACGCCTTTTTTGGTCTCCGTCGAGTTTAAGGCTCTTTAGATAAGGTGGTTAATTTACTAAGCGTAGAGTTATTATAATTAAAAATTAAGCATTCCATGACGAATCTAATTAAAATTTCGCAAGCATTCATTTATTAGAAAACTCACACGTTTTATTTAAGATTTTCACAATGATGTGTGGGTTTCTCTCTTTCGCTTTAATTTTTCAATTCTTAAATAAGAATTTTGTTAATATTTCATTTTACTACGTGTTGTGCTAACTAGAAACTGCTTAGTCTCGGTGCATCTATACTAATATTATAAATGCGAAAGTAACTCTGTCTGTCTGTCTTGCTTTCACGCCTAAACCACTGAACCGATTTTTATGAAAGGCATAGAGATAGTTTGAGTCCCGGGAAAGGACATAGAATAGTTTTTATTCCTGTTTTTGAAACAGGGACGTGCGCGTTAAAGTTTTCTGTGACAAAAATTACACGCGGGCGAAGCTGCGGGCGGAAAGCTAGTTTCTTAATAAAATATTTTCCTGACTTGCGTTAGCATATTCCTAGAGTGTTATCAGTTTAGTAGATTGATTTAGTAGCTGCATTAATGCATAAGAATTTGAAACGAAACTTTCTGTGGAATATTATGAGTGACGTTTGTACAAAAAAAGCAAAAGTGTTTAAAACTGTTTTGATTAACTACATTCTCACAGAAGTGACGACGTCCACTTTCATCACAGTAGGAAAGAAACTGCATAGTCATGAATTTTAGTATAAAATCACAAATCTTTCCCAGCTAAGCAGATACGTTATCTTGAGACGCCAGTTTTGTAATTGACATAGCATAAGTTTTATCTTTGGTTTTTACTCAAGTAAGTAGCTGGGTTTATTCGTCTGTGACCCAAATTTTAGGTGAAATTTTAAGCATTGTAAAATTAAGTGGAATATGCACAGTTTAAAATGGTTACTGCAATTTCACGTGATACAAGAAAACCTAATTTATTTTTAGATCATAACGAATCTATAGCTAAATTTAAGCTCAAGGCGAAAACTAATGAATAATTCAATCGAAAGCATCACGAAACCAATTCCCATAATGGTAAGGTGAAAGGTTCCCACCATTGTTTATAAACACGTTATTGTATTGTTCCAATCGCTCGTGACGATAATGTGCGTGTACGCATCGCGTGGCTCTTACTCAACAAACCGCATGAAAGCAACAGTGATGTATCGTTCAATCGCTATAGCGGAAACCGTGACGAGGCCGTCTAAGTCGACAAAATCGGCCGTGTCTCGGAGGTTATCGATACAAATCGGAAGTAATTCCCATCCATATTTGGAGTGTAACTGGCAACACAGACACATGCGCAACACGCCACGATAAAAACAAAAACACTTGAAAAGTTCCAATTTCAAAAAAGCACTGGCCGTTTAACGAAAAAAGAAATAAGGAACTGACCACACGTCAAGAAGTCTAGCATGTCAGTCCATTGCAGTATCATAATTGCAACTGAGATGGTCGCACAGGTTTACTGCTGGGTATTGTGTACTATCTCGATCTCATGTGCCGTCGGCTCTATCTAAAATCTCAGAGTGTGCGAAAGTGACACCTTGCAGCGGCTAACTAGGTTGAGTGCAAGTTCAATTTAGTTCTCAAATTAGTTTAGCGCTGAGGTCGACGGAGATGGCGCCGCTCGTGACAAAGTGTTGCCAGTAATAACATCATTGAATAACATTTTTATTTCGATAACAAGCTTATGAAGTTTCAGCTAGCTTCCCTGTAAACAAAGTCCTTGCGTCAAGCTCTTTCAGTACTTTTCACAATTTTATATAAGATTTTTTTCAATGCGGATTCGGAAGACTGCTAATTTTAACGATGAACTGTAGCTATAAAGATAGCAGTAATATTTACAAAAGAAACTACCCTTTTTGTTCGATTATCTTCACAATAGCAGCACTAACAAACGTCTAATGAGTCGTAGCCTTTCCAGACCTTTCTTTGCAGCTCTAATCTCTATTTCTAATGGCGTTTCCATGGAAAGTACAAAAGAATTGCTATCAAATTAGAATTAAAAGGTCAATGTCTTCACTTTCGAGCACTCATTATGCTGTAACGGACTTCTCACGGAGGTACATTGTAATTTGGGCTTATGTAATCTTGAATAACCTCACATAACGTTTTGAAATAAATATTAATTGTCAAGGGAAGCTGGGTATTTGCCAGCAATTATGGGTAATGATGTTGAGCGTTTTCTTTTACATTGTACTTGTTAGAAAATTGGCGCTGTCTGTAAAATTACGGGTTATTTTGACATGTGACTCGACATTAATGGCTTAGATGTTACGGTTGTTTCAATTTTAAAGTAGGTACCTTCGTACTGAAGTAAATG